TTTTCGTTGTTGTAATGTGGTAAAAAGATGGAGATCCAGACCTGTTATTTAGCTAAAACTATTTAAGATTGCTTAAGTCATCTGCAACAGCAAGAAAATGATTTATCAAAACTCAAAAGGTAAATAATATGCTATATTTTCTAGATCATGACATAGTATATATTTTTACCATTCACGACTCTTGCAGTGCTCTCCGCCATTTTGAAAAGTTCAAAGGTTATCTTATCTCGGCAACTCGTCCATCAAAATATTCTACGAGTTGCCCAGTAGAAAATACCACATGAGGGGGTGTTCATGTGCATTTTCTACGTTGGCTTTTGGTATTTACTATAATTACCATAGCACATGAACGCAGCATAATGCTGCCTCGGAAATTTCCGACTTCCCACTTCTGAGGTCATGATTGCTTTTTCACCGCATTCAAATGTTGACTTGAGAGGCTGTTCATTGTCAATTTGACTAGGGAACTTGTACGATAATTCCAATAGCATGTGAAGGCAGCAAAATTGCACCGCGAGGAATGAGGAGCGAGGAAGCTTCATGAGGAGTCATGAGTGAATATAAACGGGTGTATTCTTCCCTCGCATCCTAAGGCCTTGTGACCACCAAAGTGTTTTTCCACGCGCCTGGCGTATGTCTTCAATTGTTTACAATGGGAGCGGCAAGTTTTTTTAAACGCCAGGCACGTAACGAGGCGCTGAGCGTTTTTTTCACGCTGAACCGCCGAGCGCACAGCGTTTTTTACAGGTCGTCAAGAGTTTAAAAATGTTCAACTTGGGATAAAACGCAGCGCTCATCACTGTCACTTTTTACCCAGCCGTCCAATCACAGTGCAGGAAGGGCGGGACTAAACCACAGTGACCAACTGTCACAACATTCTTTCTGCACAACGGCATCAACCAACAGAGCTAACCGAACAAAATGGATGAAAAATACATTTTTAATATGAATATGAATAATATGGAACAAATTATCTGCGAAATCATTTACAAGTAAACGGTGCTGCGGATATTCTGTATCATAGCAACGAAAACTCTCAACGGAAAAAACGCTGCGCTGCCAAAACACTCTCAAGCGTCCAAAGCTCGGCGTCTTCAGCAGAGCGTCTAGCGTTTTCAGCTGGCTAAAAACGCTTTGGTGCACAAAATGTTTTTTCACGCGCCTGGCGTATGTTTTCGATTGTTTTCAATGGGAGCGCCACGTTTTTAAACGCCATAAGCGTAACGAGACGCTGAGCGTTTTTTTTTTTTTTTTCATGCTGAAACGCTGAGTGCCCAGCGTTTTTTACTGATCGCCAAGAGTTTAAAAATGTTCAACTTGGGATAAAACGCAGCCCTCATCACTGTCACTTTTTATCCACCCGTCCAATCACAGTGGAGGAGGGGCGGGACTAAACCACACTGACCAACTGTCACAACATTCTTTCTGTACAACGGCATCAACCAACAGAGCTAACCGAACAAAATGGATGAAAAATATATTTTTTAGTATTCAACAAATTATCTGCAAAATCAGTTACAAGTAAACTGGGCTGCGGATATTCTGTGCATTTTGTTCGGTTCGCTCTCTACTGGTTGATGTCATTGTACAGAAAGAATTTTGTGACGGTTGGTCGGTTAGTCCCGCCCCTCCTCCACTGTGATTGGACAGTTGGGTAAAAAGTGACAGTGATGAGTGCTGCGTTTTATCCAAAGTTGAACATATTCCAGCTGGCAAAAAAACGCTTTGGTGGAGACACGGCCTTTTAAGGGATGGGGCTAAGATGCAAAGGAAGCGAGGATGCACAAATAAGTAATGAGTATGAATGTGTATTAGTATTATATTGGTGTTGTCATTATCTTGTGACCTATCAGTGACAGTTTGATCACTTCATAACTCCCGTGGCCTCATGGGATTTTAAAGTGTTCATTGAATGCACATTGCACACCTGGTTTATGGATACAGTAAATTCAGACAACATGCTACTCTCTTCAAATACTGTTTATAGTTGGGAAGTATGCATTTTAGATGCCAAATACTTTCCAAACAGATGCTAGCCACATTTTTTAACACATTTTCACTGTGTCCTACTACATCCGAATGCTTCCTTTTTGCCCTATCATGCTACCCGCGTTTTGGATTGTTTTGGACGACTGTTTAACTAGCACATCCTGAGCGGGTGGCACAAATGGTCAGAACACCGGCTCACATTTTTTTATATTTTAATGTGTATTTTACATCTGCAGAGTTTGATCAGAAGCTGTGTAAAGTTGATTTTGATGTTTTACTAACAGAGGGCTATGATGTGACATTTACTATACTTTTTGCACAGCATAGAATCAAAGCCTTAGAACTTGAACTATGGTTTTACTGGTATTTTGTAACATGAAATCATCTATTTGCAAGTGCAACATGATAGGCTATTCAATAAAAAAAGGGTTTTGGTCCATTCTGACTATCTGTTTGGAAAGGCATTACTTTTGCAATTCCTGGTGTCGTTATTGGCAGAGAAATTGATTGGATTGTGAAATGTGGTCGGTTCATATCCGAGTAGAGTCTGGGCTGAAAAGTGACAGATATTTGACATCTTTCAAAAATGAAAGTTGTCTCAGAGGTGGAACGTATGTTACATTTAGAAAAAGATTACAAAGAAAATATTTTTTTAAATTAAAACATGCATGTATGAACTGTGCACAATAAGACAGATCATTTTGATTTTATGTTGACTTTAAAGTAACTTTTTAGAGCGTACTTGTGAAATTGAATTGGACTTTACTTGGTCAGTGCGTTCTCTTTTAAGAAATATAGCAGTGCTTGTATTTTTGCACTTATCCTGAGATCTCTCGCCCTTTGGTAAAGATGTCACACCTTGCTTAATCCATGACAAGTCTTTAGTTATGGATTGCATCCTTCTACCTGAAAGGTCAGAGCCATTGCGAGCAGTCACTCAGCCTTCTCATTTCAATGCAGCTGATAATGTGTATTAAAGGTTAGCAGACTTTGACTTGCAGGGCATTTTCAAAAGGGGGAATTTTTGCACTACAAGGTTTTTTTTTCCCTTAGGCTCAAACCAGGCAGTTTCGGAAGACAGTTTCATCCTGCTTTAAACTGCGACTGCATAATGTCCAACCGCTCTAAATATTAACTGTCTGCAGCAGTGACAGCCTGCCAAGTTTTCAGAGTCGAGCTTCAGTGATTTCTCGCCGTACTGGTGTCTTTAAACACCACGGGGAATAGCCGGTCTGCTGATTAAGGATCCGCGGCCTTGGACTCATTCATATTGTAGGAAGGTATTTCCATAGCAATTAGCTATGAGACCTTTTGGCTCTCGCTTTAGAGAAATACATCCCCAGCTCCCAATTGTAATCTTCCTGCCGAATCCTTATTCGGACCGGTCTCATCCACGTTATTATCCCACTGCATTTATATTCAAATGGCACATCGAAGGCCTTCGTAATTGAATCTAATCCACTCCGTCTGATCAAAGGCCCTTTAAAGGAGTCATAGTTTAATTTGTTAAATCAATAGAGCAGCTATGGTTTTGTCCATGGCTGACCTAGATTTTTCTGGGTTTAGTTAGCCGTCTTTTTCGGGAGAGCAGGTTGCAGGGAGGTTTTGAATATAAAATCGCCAAGGAAAGACAAGTGCGTTTTATGTAATCCTCCAGGGAATGGCGACGGCGGTGCTCTCGTGCACTGAATTCCGGGTTGCTATGGAAATGATCTGCTCTGCTACAGTTGACATTGGCCAGACAATGAGCACAAAGGATTAAGAAAGCACCGGATGAATAAAGAAGAGGTCAGGTATAGTATGCTTCGATTTCAGCTCTGTTATATCATTTCCATTTTGATAGTAGGCGTTTGAGGAAGGACAAAATCCATATTGATGGATGAGCCGCTGAATGTATCACAATATAGCCTATGGCTGGATATTTTAGGGAAAAGATTATATATTAACTAATCATGTGATGCCTTTTTGGATAGTTGAGTGAAATAAATAGTTTACAAATGTAAATGCTACGCAATGCTAGCCAATGTAAGTTGGGAATTCTGATGTTTGAAGGCCTTATTTTTGCAGTTTCACTCTAAATCCCTTTTTAATGGTTCATTATGCAGTGCCGTCCACTGATTGCCATGCAAAAACTGCGATATATAGCACATTTTCTTCCCGCTGAGACAGATCGCACATACAGTATATTGTCAAAACGCTCAACCCTATTTGATACTGAAAGCAAATGTAAATTTAAATGAATCCCCCGCAGAACTTTAACAACGCTCGGTAGATAAACCCTCCCAGGATCATTTTGTTCTGATTAAGAAGCGCACTTCTATGGACTTTAGAGTTGGCGCTGTTTGAATTCAGGGAGGCTAATTAAATAGAAGTCGATAAACGCTTACCTGCTGGGACTTGTGGATTCGCCGGAGGAGAGAATGACATGAGGACCTTAAATGGATCATTTGCGTAAAGTCTATTGGATCATACTCGTAGCTAATAGCTCAGGTTTAGGATACAATGAGGCCCAGAATTAAGCCTAAGTTATGTATTGGGGATGGGAGACTAACTAATTAAAAGTTTGAAAAGGATGCACACTGATTGTAAATGACTTCAGTGGGCGCTCGTAGGCCTACTGTTGATCTCAAGCTGTTCGCGCAGTTAATTAACCAAAAGATGAAGACGTGGCGGAGCAAATCATTACAGATTGCAATTAATGCGATTTGCAAGGCATGCCAAGAGTACGTTAACAAGAGAACGTCAGCTCGGGTCAAAGGGGTAAGATCGCTGTGATTTTTGTTTGTTGCTTAATGCATCATTAAAAGCCAAGAAGCCTTCCGCTCAGAACCCCCGGTTCCCACATCTTGAGATGGTCTCATTGTTTCCATGGCAACCCAACTCTGCATACCGAGTCGTGTGGGGGGGGCGGAACGGAACGGGACTTGAGAAATGTGTCGTTTCTTGAGCTTTCTTTTAAGTTCCTGTCTTCCCGTGGATGAAATGTACGACAGCTTGGCCTGTAAGTGATAGTGGAGATAGTCGAAAAACCCCAGGTGAAAGACTGTGATTGGAATACAAAGGCTGAGAAAGAAAGGCAGAGGGGCGGACCGTGAGGGAAAAAAAAGCCTTCTCATCTCAGCTCGTCTTTGACAGTCAATTTACATCTGAGAATATCTCACCAAGTTACCACTCGCCCGGCTCGGCTTCGTGGCTCTCTTTGTAATTGTTATTTGAAACATGTATTTAAATCTCGACTGATAATCTGCACTACAAACGCTCTTCAAAGAACAATGTTTTGCTGGTGACGGAGCATCAGAACGTCTAATTGGAAACAGATCCATTTCTTAGCATTGGAATGGGATTTTATCGTAGATAAGTATGTCTTGTCATTTTTCATATTCAAGGTATTGACTTTTTAAAAGCATCAAAAGGCTGGCTGAGCAAGGGAGGCTTGCTGATCAGACTTGGTTTTCTTTTCTTGTGGAGAGTTTCCATTGCCTGTCTTCTATCACTTAAAGGGATCGTTTACCCAATAAAACATTTTTGAACACCCTTATGTTGTTCCAAACCTGTATGAGTTTCTTTCTTCTGTTGAACACAAAATAAGATATTTTGTCATTGGTAGCCACTGACTTCCATAGTATTTATTATTTTCCCAATGGCGACGGTCAACTGTCTGGTTACCAATATTCTTTAAAATATTCTCTTTTGTGTTCAACTGAAGAAAGAAACTCTCATAGGTTTGGAACAACTTGAGGGTGACCTATTAAACCAGGCCTTTAAAAATTTTTATTTTCAGTTGTGAAGAAAACTTGAGCTGTGGGAAGGGTGCTTAGTAAATATCTTTGGTAACACTTTACAATAAGGTTCGTTAGTTAACATTAGTTCAATTTCAAATTTTTAATAAAGTATATTGTGTATATATTTATATTTTTAAAAAGATAAAGAAATGTAAGAAAGTCTAAAATTAAATCGTATAAATAAATCAGCATATTAGAATGATTTCTGCAGGATCACGTGACATGACTGAAGGCTGGAGTAATGATGCTGAAAATTCAGCTTTGCATCGCTGGAATTAATACAATTTTAAAACCTATTCAAACTGAAGACAATTCTTTTAAATTGTAAAAATATTTTACAATATTGCTGTTTTCTCTGTTTTTTTTTTTTCAGTAACATAAATGTATCCTTGGTGCCAAAAAAAAGACTATTATGTTGGTCTTTTTTAAGCTTCTGAGTGACGTTTCTCAATCTCGGTCTCTTACTATTGATTGTTCCTCGTCCATGTTTGATGTATAATATACGTGAGAAAAGGGATTTGGGTGCTGCATGCGAGCACCTTAAGTTGGTAATATGTTGAAAGAAAATGAGAAAGTGTGACAGAGATAGTGATATTTTGAACCTGTGTGAAAGCACAAGAGAAAGAGACACTGAACGATCACCTCATTTTACACAGTGATTGGACTTGATGAAGTGTTCACCACTCTCTGGGGTCTCTGTGTAGTTAACACAATCACTAGAGGCCCAGAGCTCTCAACCTGTAATAACCCAGTTTAATCGTCATTAAAGTACTACCTGATGGCTTTCAATGAGAGCAGAGCGGCCAAACACTTCTATAGTCTGTGTGTGATCAGCTTTTCAGAGAATCCCATCAGGGACTCGCCATCCACTGATCAGCCATAAATGGCATTGAGATGGGAACATTTATAAATGAAGGTCTTTTAAATTGAGACGTGTCCCTCGGGATTCTTGTATACTTTCTGATGTCTTGCGTTGAACTTGTAGACTAACTACTAGTAGCTAACTTTACAAATTTTTTAAAAAAAATTAAAAAATAAATCGGTAACACTTTACTTGAAGGGCATTTACATGTCATCCAAGATGTCCATGTCATTCGAACTCGTTCATCAAAATGAACGAATCTTTTTCGTGTCATTTGGTTCATTCAACGAACGAAATGAACAAGTTGACTCTGGAAAAGGTTAGTTCATTTTGATGAACGAGCTCGAACAGGAGAGTCACGAACGCGCATAACAGAACAGAGCAAGGCGAGCATTTGAGCTTATAAAACGTAAACTTTGTTATTTATTTATTTAATGAGCGATCGTTTCGTTTGATAAGACCCTTATTCATCGTCTGAAAATCGTTTAAAGCCCTTTGAACAGTTTGAAGTTGTCTTTTGGACCTTGAACCGTTTGGTTCCCACTGAAGTGCATTATATGGAGAAAAATGCTGGAATGTTTTCATCAAAAACCTTAATTTCTTAATTTCTAAAGAATGGATATCTTGGATGACATGGGGGTGAGAAAATTATCAGCAAAAGTTGTTTTTAAAGTGAACTACTCCTTTAAGATATAAAAATTTCTTTTTTTTAATTTAAAAAAGACCCTACTGACCCCAAACTTTTGAAATGTACACATCAATTTACATATAGCCTACTCTCCAGTGTATGCTTAAAGAACAAGTACTGGTTTCAGACAAGAAGTATCTGTGTTGTGTTGCTTAAGAAACAAACCGGACGTTCGATATTACTTGGATTTTATTTTGAAGCGTATGTTGACATCTGCTAAAATGTCAGCTGCAATAGTTTGATCATGATATTCATTGGTTGTGAAAGCACTCTGGGAAAGCTTTCATGCAGGGGTTGTAGGGGAAGCATGGGAATGGTTTCTCGAGGAAAGTCAGGGACTGGGGTGAAGACCACGGTTGCCTGGATACTGCTGGATGCTAAGCCTCGGTACAACAGCCCACTTCAAGCTCATTGTGTACACAGCTGAGGAGAGAAGAACAGTTGTGTGAAATTGGCTGCATCAATTGAATCAAGTGATGTTGCTTTTCTGGGCCGTCTTCCATATCACTGCCTCCACTCGGATGAAAATAGACCATAAAAAAGTGTTTGCATAACTTAAGCCGTGGATTTTACAGCCATAAATAAGACAAAATGTGCCTCTCTGTATGCCTATTGGAACAACAGTGAGCTTCTCAAGTCTTTGATATCCATTAGCCTTCTTGTAATTAGTTCCCTTATTATTTCTCTTAATATGATTACAGAATAATTGTAGATTACTATCCAATTATTGCATGTAGAGTGCTAATAGGAAAGACAACAAGCTTTCAATATATTTGTGTTCTAGCAGGCACTACAGTATATCCATCTCCTATTTAACTGACAATCAAATCATGAATCAGTATAAAATAAAAATATATTTATTTACATGAAAATTCAATTTTCACATTGTTTAAAGAAAAACATTTGGCTATTATCTGACACATCTAATAAGTATGGATGGTGCAGTGGATAAGGCACATGCCTTTGGTGTGAGAGACCCGGGTTCAAATCCACTGTGAGACACCAATGTGTCCCTGAGCAAGACACTTAACCCCTAGTTGCTTCTGAGGCGTGCGACCTCTGACATAGCAATTGTATGTCGCTTTGGATAAAAGCGTCAACTAAACGAATAAATGTAAGGTAATGGACTGTTTATTTGATTATCAAGACAGTTTTGCCTAATGGCAATTGCAAGTGCATTTAAAGGGCACATATCATGCATTTTGTTGTATATTTGGAGTGTTTATAAGTACAGAAAAGATGAAATTATTCTCTTCAGGTGCTTCGTTTATATCTTTATATTCTGTTTTGGTCATATTTTTCAACCTGTTCAGATTTTTCTTCTTCTCTATGACGTTTTTTTGAACAATTACGTCACAGTATTTGCAGCGGAACTGACAAATAAGGACATTAACTACCGGTCCAACACTTCGAGCAATCCGCCATTATTATTTCTCGCTCCGATTTTGTAGTCCAAGCTCAATGATGCAGAAGTTACGAGAGGGCAAGTCAAAATGTTCGGTTGTTGGATGTAGTGACCTGAAGCACTTCAAGGATCCCCACTTCAACAACCTCCGCCAGTATACAGAAGGGTTTGCAGATCGACTTCGTCTGAATGAGGGGTAAATTCCTCCTATCATTTAGCTGCTGTGTTTTCTGACGCTTTCTAAACGTAAGTTATCTTCAATTATTGATACAGATTTTTAGTGGTAAAAAGTGGCAGTCATTTATCTTGTCAGTGTGCTTGTTTAATAAGAGAAAATAGTCGACTTTCACTAACACAACATAGTTAATTTAACTTACATACCACTGCATCCATATGAAGACGTTGTTCTGCAGGTTCGTCGTCGTCTTTTTCAACTCGCTCGCTCTGGCTCGAATATGTAAGGCTTGATGGACAAGTCTTCCGTTGTTGACATTTTGTTAACATGTGAAAAAAAAAATGTTCTTTGAAGCTATAGTAATCGTATCTCTTATCAAACTACAATAATGGCCGAAAGCGGGGAGTTGAACCGACCGTGAACTCAGCGACCTGGAAAGCGGGCGGGGTATGACACAACTCCTTTTTATTTAAAGGGGCCGCTTCGAAACGACTTGCTCACAGAAGCGCGTCAGAAAAGGGGTAGAATAGGGGCTTGTGGAGATATAATAATGAGGAATTCAGACCCAAGCATTGCAGTTATGTTTTATATAGACCACAAATGTATGATTTATAAGTAAAAATGAATGATTTAAAAGCATGATATGTACCCTTTAAATACATGTAACTTCTGCTAGTAAAATATAAGGCTAAATGCTTCTGGAAGAAAGATGGAACAGAATGCACCATGATGCCTGATATATATTCAGATGCGTTATGAGATAGTCAGTCGTGGGAATAGTAGGCGACAGTATGAGAATATATGGACCTTGTCATTGTTATTGCAAATGTTGTAATCACTTTACACATTGTCATAATTGCTGTATGAATTGCACACAGTGGATTACAGCAGTGACTACTAAACATTAACGCTATTAAAGACGTGGGCTGAATGTAGAGCTAGCCATGTAAACGAAATACTCTTGATGTTTTACAGGAGCTGACTCCAAAAACCAAAGGGTGATGACGGTGCCCTCGGCCCATGAGTTCCATTGGCAGAGCCTGGCATGTCTTTCCAGTGCCCGTGTGTATCACTCATTGGCTGATGTGGGGGGGCAGCTCTATATGGTGGGGGGTTGTGATGCCTCGGGTCGACCCACCAGCGCTCTTGAGCTCTACTCGCCCGAGGTGGACCGCTGGCTCAGCCTTCCTCCGATGCCCACGCCGAGAGCCGGGGCGGCAGTGGCCGTTTTAGGGAAGCAGCTGCTGGTGGTCGGTGGGATGGGGAAGGACCAGCGCCCCCTAAAGGCCGTGGAGGTGTACAACACTGAGGAAGGCAGATGGAGGAAGAGGTGCTCACTCAGAGAGGCGTCCATGGGGCTTTCTGTTACTGTTAAAGGTACAACACAGTTTTGTGGCATGTTAATGGCAACATAGAATGGTGACTACCAATATTATTACCATACTTCCATTACAGATCAATTATATGATCAATTATTCAATGAGGTAAAAGTTCCGGGCCCTTGATTTTATTCATGGAAATTGATAAATAAATAATACAATAATAAATATATTATATTATTAAACTATTATAAATCAGTAGAATCAATCTATCTATCTATCTATCTATCTATCTATCTATCTATCTATCTATCTATCTATCTATCTATCTATCTATCTATCTATCTATCTATCTATCTATCTATCTATCTATCTATCTATCTATCTATCTATCTATCTATCTATCTATAGTTAAAAAAGGTTAATTGTGAACAATACAATCAAGGAAGTGTATAACAGAATGAAATAAATCATGTTTGGGATAGTTAAATGTGTTAATATACTACAAGTTGGAGGTTAACAGTGGAACATATTTTTAAAAGATTATGAAGATCAATATTATTTATTATGAACGTGTAACGAAATAAATTGTTTTTGACTTGAATGGTTAAAAAGTGTTAAATGGTGTTAATTCTTTTTTTTAGTAATACATTATATGTGTGCGTACTGATGAATTGTGGGCAAAAATATCAGAAAGATCATATTAAAGAACAAAAACAATTGTTTTTAGATAGTGAAGTGTCTCATAATTACAAGCTGTTCAAGTTAAAATATGATTAGAATACATATTATATATAAATATTTTAAAAAGTTTCTTTGGAATAATGTGATGAATTTTGCACAATACAAATCAAGAACATCTATTAAAGAACAAGGTAAATAATTTTATTTTGTTGACTTTAAATCAAACCATGTCAATGTCACTTTTCAGCCGCAGATCTGTCAGCACATGGCATTTATTCATTGAGTATTTGACATTGGAAGGTTGAAAGACTGTTTTGTTCAAGAGTTCTTTGTTCAAAATGAAGACCTTGATTTGATCTCTGCTCAGACGGCAGAGCTGTTGCGGTTGGGGGAATGGGAGCGGACCTCCTGCCTAGAAGTGTTCTTCAGCAGTACGACCTTCGCAAGGACGTGTGGGCGCTCCTTCCACCCATGCCCACCCCGCGCTACGATACCAGTGTCTGCCTACTGGGCTCCAAGATCTACGTGGCAGGTTTGCTGAGCAGAGAGAGTCCTTGTGTATCTCTTATCTCCCCTTGTACATGAAATACTATGTGTGTGCGTATTTGTGTTCCTGACCTCGTTGCAATTGCTGAAAAATGCATTCTAAGAGAAGGTGATGTACACTAAAGTGTGAGTCGGATTAATTTGATAGGAGACACGATACAGGTGGGGTTACATTAACCGTTGGTTGTGTAATAAAATACATACTGAATCAAAGACACAATAGAATTAAAAGACACTACACAAGACAGTAAATCATTCACACAATGTTCTGTAATGCATGTTCGTTTATAGATCAGTTCATTTATGAACCTTCTTGCCCTTGTTGGGGTGGGAGCATAGATCCCAGAGTGAGTTTTAAAGATTATTTGTTACATAACAAATAATTGTCTGATTTGTCTCAGTCATTACAATGGCAAATATTTATAACTTTCAAATGCAAAAATGACCAGTCACCACCAAAGCCTCTGTCTTTTCAGGTGGACGTCAGTGTAAGCGTTTGGTGAAGACGTTTGAAGTCTACGACATGGAAAACCGCACTTGGTCCTCCCTACCCAGCCTGCTCTGCAAGAGATCTTATTCTGGGGTCATATGGGACAGTGCTGGGCGTCTCTGCTGGTTAGGAGGGCTCAGACAAGGAGGATTACACCAAACTTCAAAGTTTACCAAGAATGTTAACATCTTTGACACCAACCAAGGTAAACTAAAATATTACATACTGTATATCTGGTCTGTTTCCCACTATAAAAATACAACTGTTCTTTTGAACTTTCTACTCATCAAAAAACTTAATATAAAAACAAAAATATGAAGCAGCACAACTGTTTTCAACATCGATAATAATAAGAAATGTTTCTTGAGCAGCAAATCAGCATATGATTTATGAAGGATCATGTGACACTGAAGGCTGGAGTAACGATTCTGAAAATTCAGCTTTAATCACAGGAATAAATTACATTTTTAAATTTATTCAAATAGAAAACTGTTATTTTAAACTGTTATAATGTATAATGTTATAATATTTTATTGTATTTTTGATCAAATAAGTGCATCCCTGGTAGGTGAGCAAAAGACTTCTTTCAAAAACATGAACAAATCTAAACAACTTTACTTCATAGAAGGCTAGAATTGCAAAATATGGTATTGCTAAATATAGGGCATTGAAAAAAAAAAAATAGCTTAAGATAGTTTGCTGTTATTACCCAGCTAACAAAATGTGTTCTAGGAATTGTATCCTAATCATGTTCCTATTAAGTTATGAAAATGCTATTTCTGGATTTTCTAAAAATATTTATTGGTAATGCGGTCATTAAGGAAACATTAAATTTGAAGGGAATGATTCAGTATAACCATTTTAAATCAAATAGAAACATTTTAAAAATGTTAGACAAATGTCCAATTAAAACGTTTAAAAAACATTAAATATTGTTTTGCGCAAATTTTGAGAACATTATTATAGAAAACACTTTTTTTTTAATTCTTTAAAAAAAAAAAAAACTTTTATACATAACTTTGAACAAATGTTCTGTTAACGTTACAGGGAGAATGTTTGTTCATAACTTTGAGAGAAGTCTGTGCAAATAATAGACTTAGCGTTGAATCTCTGTGAATATTGTTACGTCTATATAGATAAGTGCTGCTTGTGCATGCGGTATGAGACAGGCCTTAGCTTTATTCTGTGAAATCTCCAAGCAAAAATAGATTTATGTTAAATGCGTACATAAAATGTGCATCATGTCATCACGGGTAACCGTTCCCTATTTTTTTTTTTTTTTTTTTTCGGATTAACCCCAAAAAAAAAAGGGATGGAAAGATACAAGGTGTGACAAAATGTAAGACCTGCTGAAATGAGTTATTGATTTCTATCCGGCTTCTCACACTTTTTCTTCCTCTACATCGTTTCCGCTCAAATCTGATCTTTTCTAATCAGATTCAGTAGATGGGAAAATTGCACAGACTTTTTTTTTGGCCCCAAGGGCGATTAAAAAAAAAGTTCCTATCATAAGTGGGCAGGGAGGAGGTCAACTGAACTTTGAACACACTGCCGTATGAATCATTTCTCTCGATTTTTTTTAATTATTCCATTACTGGTGCATGTGTCAGTCAACAGGTGCGTGAGTCGGCGTTCACAGAGTAGCACGGGGGATTAAACCTCGCTATCTAATTTCTTTCTGCCTGAATCCGCCACCGGCAATAAAAGCCCTCGCGCCCAATCTAATATAACCAGGCGATAAGATCGAGGAAAGGGGGCGTTAAATGATGCTATTCAGAAACACATTGTCATCCCTTATCCATAGCTCATCCTGATAGATAGTTGAGCCCATCTGCTCTTTTGTCTTAACGCAGGTGAGATGGATGTGCTTTTTATTAAAGATCCAATTTGACAATGTATACTTTCTAATTGAGTGGTGATAGACCCAACAGCATGTTTTCTAACGTAATGTCAAATGAAAAGGGACCAGGACGGACCCCGCCACCTCTTTGAAGGGAATGTGACTGCATCTGAATAAAAAGTGTGCTTTGCATCAGAAAAAGGGAAAGGGCAACACTGTTCAACAGAAAAAGTGTCAGATTTTGGGCCAACAACAGAGCGAGCGTTGCATGCCAAGAGCTGAAATCAATATCCTGTCCAAAGTTGACAGACCCTTCATTGCTCATTCAAGTCAGACACTTTGATCGTTATCCAAATGGCCAAATTTGCAGCAAAACATCAATACATGATTTAACTAAAATCACTGTAGAAAAACAAACTCAGCGTAATGTTTTGTTGTCCACTGGCTACATGGGCCGCTACCTTTTAAAGCAGCTTCCTGACTGAATGTTGCATAGACTTTGATTCCATAAGGTCTTTGATTACCATAAATTCCCCACTGCAGTATATTATATTTATATATGAAGAGTTCAGATGCAAAAGCCTCTGAAATTTTCTTCTTTAATGATGATTTTTATCAAACTTGTATATTCAAGTTCAGTAATTTCACTTAAATAACAATTAATAGGTAATTATCATTGCCATTTAAGTGAAATCACTGAACTTAAATATACGAGCATGATAAAAATGATCATTCTAGAAGAAAATTTCAAATGGCATTTAGAGGCTTTTGCATCTGAACTCTTCATATACACTCACTTAAAGGATTATTAGGAACACCATACTGTGTTTGACCCCCTTTCGCCTTCAGAACTGCCTTAATTCCACGTGGCATTGATTCAACAAGGTGCTGAAAGCATTCTTTAGAAATGTTGATAGGATAGCATCTTGCAGTTGATGGAGATTTGTGGGATGCACATCCAGGGCACGAAGCTCCCGTTCCACCACATCCCAATTTAAGATGCTCAATTGGGTTGAGATTTGAGATTTTAGTACAGTAAACTCATTGTCATGTTCAAGAAACCAATTTGAAATGATTCAAGCTTTGTGACATGGTGCATTATCCTGCTGGAAGTAGCCATCAGAGGATGGGGACATGGTGGCCATAAAGGGATGGACATGGTCCGAAACAATGCTCAGGTTTAAACGATGCCCAATTGGCACTAAGGGGCCTAAAGTGTGCCAAGAAAACATCCCCCACACCATTACACCACCACCACCAGCCTGCACAGTGGGAACAAGGCATGATAGATCCATGTTCTCATTCTGTTTACGCCAAATTCTGACTCTACCATCTGAATGTCTCGACAGAAATCGAGACTCATCAGACCAGGCAACATTTTTATTTAAAAAATGTAAAAATTGAAAAAAAATTTCATATCACTTGCATTCCAAGATTGCTTGATCTGTTAAAAAATTCCTGTAATGACAAAAGTTAGGTGTTGCTTTAAATTTATTCATACACACACAAGTGCTGTGAGCATCTGCATACGTGTCTTTGCAATCAAGCGTGCAAACATGAATGGTGAAAGGAGTTGGCAACTCTCAAACAACCATCATTATTCTAATGTGGTCTCTGTGTTATTGGCTTTGATTGTGCTTTTGGCAGATTAGGTTGTTGTAAATAATGTGCCAAATTAACATTCTACATCTGTGAAACACAGAAAGCTGCTCAAATCTAACTTCCTTTTCAAAGCAATTAAAGCGTTCTAGCTCAGTAAGTTTTGAAAAAATGGTCATTGCATTTATTACAGCAAGCTATCGGCTTAGTTATTAGACGTATATTAGATTCTGCAAATGGAAAACAGTCTGTCAACTCTAATCGACAAGCACCCAGACTCTAATCTGCAGGAAAGTCCTTTATTTGTATTTCCTCTTTAGACACTTTAGGAAAAGCTGTCAAACAAAACCGTTTTTAAATCATATAATACTGTAAAAGCCTGTTAATTTTCTTTCACTCATTGTATAAATCTGATGTAATATGTCAGATTTTAAATCACACAGGGTTAATGGTGAGTATTTTGTAATTTATTCAAAGCTGAAAAACCCAAATTAATGTACAAACAATACGCAAGACATTATTAGAAGGACATCTTGCAAATTGCTGCTTGTGGTGCAGATATTACACACTTCACCTTTAATATTTTGCACTTTATTATTGCTATTTGTTTGTGTCCGCTTTGTTTTTATAGGAACTTGGTTGAAATCAGAGGACACCGTGCCCTTGAAGACCAAGCGAGCAGACTTTGCTGCAGCCATAGTGCGAGGCAGAATGATCGTGGCGGGAGGTCTAGGTATGGAAGTTGCATCATAATATATTTATCTACCGCACAGTTGCTGTCTCGGTTGGTGTCATCAAAACATCTGCTCTCCTTTTACAGGCCATCAGCCATCAGTGCTGGACACTGTTGAAGCCTTCAATCCCGAAAAAAGAAAATGGGAAAGGCTGTCGCCCATGTCAACGCCACGTTGCTCTGCCTCAAGCATCGTGATCCGTGATCGCCTGCTGGTCGTAGGAGGCGTCAATCAAGTCCCAAGTTCCGCCCATGAGATTCTATATGTAAAAGAGGAGGAGATTCTTTAACCACAGAACCTTTACACTTCAGAAAAAGTTGCCTTCAATGATCAAGTAAAACAAATTTTCACACTAAAGGTGTGGTCACATTTACCATTGCTAGTTGAGATTTCACAAAGTCAGTCATTGCAATTTTCGCTCATGTACGAATTCGCTACGCAACAGTCCTTCATATCTCTACGCTATTGACAATTGAGCTTGAGAATGTGACCACACCTTAAAGGGATACTCCACTTTTTTTGGAAATAGGCTCATTTTACAACTCCCCCAGAGTTAAAAAGTTGAGTTTTACCGTTTTCGAATCCATTCAACCGATTTTCTGATATTTAGAAGAATATCAGGAACCAAACAGTTTCTGGTCTCATTGACTACAATAGTAGGAAAAAAATATACTATGGAAGTCAATGAGACCAGAAACTGTGTGGTTACTGGTATTCTTCTAAATATCAGAAAATCAGCGGAATGGATTCGAAAACGGTAAAACTCAGCTGTTTAACTTTGGGGGAGTTGTAAAATGAGCCTATTTCCAAAAAAAAGTGGAGTATACCTTTAAGTCCTGAAATATACACTAAGCCAGTGTTTTCCCAACCCTGTTCCTGGAAGCACACCAACATTACACATTTTCATTTTCTTCCTAAACAAACACATCTGACTCAACTCATCAGCTCATTAGTAGAGACTCCAAGGCTGTATTTGAAGGGCTGTTTACACGACATCATTTTCAACTTAAAATGTGTAATGCGTTTCACCCGTTCGTTTACACGAAAACGACATTTTTGGCGAACTCTTGAAAATGGGTTTCAAAGCAAGGTCGCCGTGTAAACAGCAAAAACGCAAATCTCTGAAGATGATGATGTCATACGCATGCGTAGTACATGTTCAGTCTATAGTGTTTCATCGCCATCTAATGGCCTGGCAGCAGAATACAGCGTTTTTTGTGGTTTTCGCGAATCCGTCTGAATGGGGATCGGTTTGACCATGGTGTCGTCTGTATGTGTAAAACACAATGGAAAACTTCTCAGTTTTAAGTATATCGTTGTCGTGTAAATGTACTCCTTGTCAGAAATTTTCGACGTTAAAAAATAAATGCGACCTCACGTTGTGTCAATCATGCCTCCGAAACTTTCGGCCGTCAAAAAAAATTCAGATCTGGTTTGATTTTCTGTGTTTTTCGCATCCGTAGCAAGCATTTTGAGAGGTGTTTTGACAATTCAGAACACCAAATGACGAATATGGAAAAACGCAGAGGAAAATTCCAATTTTATGCCCGTCACTTGCTAACTTTCATTCATTGCTTACGTTGCACAAGTACTCACTACTGCCCGAACCCTTGCAATCTGTTTAAATTGAACACCCTAAGCCCACTTGATATCCACAATGGAGCTGATTTATTATTTAAATAATATTTAAATACAATTTATTATTTAAATAATTTGCCCCCACCCCTACCAGGGGTGGGGGTGGGGCAAATTAAGCACAATCTTTTTTGATGTCACAATATTGCATTGTGGTCTGTGGATCTGCCTGAAGTGTTCATGTTGAGTATACTCGCTACATCGATCAAAATCAAGCGGTCAGAGGCTGGAGTCTGTCAAGTACACTTCCCTCACCCACATAAAAAAGTGGAACGCACTTCAAAATTGCGGTGGTGATTCCCCTGAAGGGAAGCGCTTAGTTCATGAGTGTATGTCTAAAAGTGGAGTTAAACACAGCCCAAGGCCAGAAATAGATGGGTCAGTGAATGGAGACATACAAAATGTGTACTGTTGGTGTTTTCAGGAACAGGGTTGTTGGGAAACACAGCTCTACCCAAATTTGAAATCTTGGCCAATGCATTGCAGAGGCGGCCATAGAGCTGGGGTTCTAAACTCTGGCCCTCGAGGTCCACTTTTCTGCTCCAACCTTGAGAAAAATCACCTCCCTATAAATTTCTAGTATTCCTGAGGACCTAGATTAGGTGTGTTTGATTTCGGGTTAGAGCTAAACTGCAGGAAAGTAGACTGCGAGGGCCAGATTTGAGAACCCCAGTCGTAGAGTTTCCTTCAAACGTCTGTCTTAATCCACATTCAGGTAGCAAGCTATAAACATGTCAATGGTTTAAAGGTAAAATGTGAAATTTTAGCACCCTATACCGCCTCTTGTGGCAATGCTGACATATTTCCTAATGCAATCATGAATGAAATCAAACTAGTTTGTTTACAATACGTACTTATGTAGAGTATGTTTCAGGCTTAATGTCAGCACAGCAAGGTTTTTGGATGTTAGACTGTTCAAATGAATAAGCTATACTATCTGATGAGGAATAACTAAGCACATTTAATGGAACAACATGTATTTTAGTTCCACGAAGCTCGCTGTTAATGACATTTTTACAAAATGCACAGCAACGACAATCTGCCGCCTAAAGCCAACAGCACCAAACAACCACCGAACGAGTTAAGCCAACAACAAATGCACAAACACAGCCACACACGCTTTAGAAACTGAATATATAGGCGTTTGAAATAGAAACAGATTTAGCAGCAGTCTCCCTATAACGGTGTCTTGAGATATGTTTAGGGTATTTACAGGGTTGCTAATTAATCTACTGCTATTTTTAGCATGATCAACTTGTAATACACTAGAGGTTTTATTAATATTCATAGTGCATACCTCCCTGCATTAATTGTGTAGATGACGTGTGAACAGATTTTGGTGATTTGTATTTTTCACTCATTCTGGTCAGTATCATCCTTGTTAAATTGCACTGCTGTAGCACATACATGCAATCCTTTTTCTAAATGTTTACAGGGTCTTCAGCAATTTTATAGTAGCATCAAGTATTTTATCTTTAAAAACCCCTGAAATCTAAAATTGGGAGTTCCACGGCTTTTAAAAAATGTAAAGACAAGCCTTTTGAAATGTTCAACCCCAACTTACTTTGCAATGGGAAATGCATCAAAACAGAACAGGAATCTGCCCTCTAAAAATGATTCCATGGGGTTTTTAATGCTACACTAATAAAAATGATATTGGGTGTGTTCACATGCACAACAATTTAGCACTTTCAAAAATCTCGGCAAAGGAAGAAACATTAATATGAGATTTGAAGTCATTGGTTTACATATGCACACAGAGAATAAACCGCCAGGATTGTGGCTTAAACGGTTTATGACCTTTGGCTGATAAAAGTAACCATTTATGTGTTTACATGACCTTACATGCTGCTGGTTTATTAAGCATAATCGTGTAAGATTGTGCATGTAAACACACTCATTGTCGACACAGAGTTCAGAGATGCAGTATTTTGAAGTTGAAAAGCCTTTAGAGAAGTCATCATTGCTATGGCCATCATTACATTTTTCTATTGTAATGTTTTCACTTGGCCATTTGCTGTCATTTTGTTAGGATAATGTGTCTTGGATGCACATAGCAATAAAGTAAAGCACTGTAATACCTGGTTTTCTACAATTGCTTGTGGTTTTGCCATTAAATGAACTTTATCTGCTCTTTTTGCTTCCTTGTTTCTTGGTTAAAATTGACCATGGCACTCTTATCTTGGGGGGAAAGAAACAGTGGATTTACTTTTCTCACTCTCTTTTTTAATGATGTCAAATAGTGACTCACTTATTTGAGTCTTGAGCAGGATAGTGGTTGACACAGAATAGGGAGTGACTCTAACCGTGTGGACTCCTGGCCTGAGGTTTATTTGTCTCTATTGATTTCTCTCACCTCGGTAGAGGTGAAATGTGTCTTGCGGTCCTGTCGGCCACGCTCAGACCTGCTAAAACACACTGCAGAGATGCAGTTAAAAAGTGCTGCAGTGGTTCTACACAGTTTATCTGCAAAATGAGGCTAGTGCTGATGTGTTGTTGTGTTCCGGATTGCTTGGAATTCTCTTGGCCTGCTTTTCAGGAAATATAGCCTAAAGCAATATTGGCTGTTTGTTTAAACAGGGATAATCTTATAAGTATTAGTTATCAGTCAAGTTTGAAATGTGTATTTCTCCATACATTAATTAACTTAAAGATACAGTTCACACAACAATGAAAATTGTGTCACCGTCATGTTTTTCCAAACCTGTATGAGTATCTTTCTTTTGTAAAACACAAAAACTACTGTCTGAATAAAAACTGAATGGGTGCCGTTAACTGTCTTGTTAAATATTCTTCAAACTATACCATAGGCTATCATAAATGGTTTAACAGTATATTTGAAAACATACAGAATAATATGGTGTTAATACCTTGCATATTACATTTCAGATATTTAAAAATGTGAGACAATATATTTACTAAAGTTATCCGTCGTTATGGGAGTACGACGGATTTCCGTCAATATCAGGGTCCTCTGTCCTTGTCTTAAATTACCCTTTTCAATTATTTTAAAGCAATATTGTAATAACGTTAAATGTCTTAATTTTAGTTTGAATGGGTCGGAAGGTTCTAGTAGCCTGGCTGCGCCCTCCTACGCACTTCCGCTCAATTTCATTTATGAACTAGAGTCTGGTTGAAGCAGGCTAGGAAGGTTCACCCTGCTTATGGAAATGTATTCAAAGCCTGGACTGGAGAAAAAGCACGTTCCTCTCTCCACTCTTACCGTTCTGTTAAGTTGTTTTAATATGTTTATTTTTTTATATCACAAATGTCAGAATTTATAAGACTACATGTAACAGATTGGAAAGTATTCTACACGTTTAATAAATGTTCCAGCCCTTGCTTGCAACATGTAAACAGCAGGCCTGGCAAAGCGCACCCATGGTAAAAAGGAAAGAAAGTTACAGAAAATATCTTCTACAAACAATTTTAATTTGCCAATACTTATTTATAATACATAAAAGTGCACGACGTGCAAATCGGATAATAATCAAGTGCAATATAAACATGTTTTTTCAAAGCATCCGTCCCGAACCGGAACACCGGCATCAACACTACATTTCAACATCTGCTTCCTCCTTAACACATGTCTGCAGTGATTAAACTTCACCACAGTTGTTCCATGAAAACACGAAAAGCTGTGAAGTGATAGGCTACATATGGTTGTTTCTTCTTTGGTTTGAAAGATTAAAAGGTAAGCAGCGGGACGGACCGGTTTAAATCTCGGCATTTGTCCTCTGACTGCAACTGCTAGCGCAGTCACCGGAAAAAACCCTACTTCCGGTCTCGGCGGCCATTTTTGTGATTAGGTAGGCCAACGTCACATTTTTGTCGTTTTTCTCTCAAGAAAGTTTATCTAACACAAAAGAGGCGTAGAGCTAACTTTATAGCTTCTTCAGAACACATCTTACTCATAACCATTTCAATGGACCCTGACAACCACCACGGCAGCGCCATCTTTGATTTTTAATGAGAATGAAAGTGAGGCTGTGAGGGATAGACATGCATCTCTTCAATGGGCTGTACTGTTATTTAATGTGTTTTCGTTTTGTTCTGCTCATGAAACACTGGAAAAATATCGTTCCAAGAAATTTTAGTTGACAAAAAACTCCTGACAATATAAGCTGTGGAAAATTGTAAGTAATCTAGGAGCTTTATTCAGCTTTTTACAGCGGATCCCATTGGAAACACGGTAAGTCTATCCCTCACAGCCTCACTTTCATACCTGTCATGGCGCTGCTCTGAATAAGGTCTATGTTGTTGAACAGTGCCTAAAACCCCTCTAAAATACAACAGACCAGCCTTACCGTGGTGGAGAGCCAGGTAAGACCATCCCCTTTTATTTATTTTAGCAGAGTGTTTACAATTTGAACGATGAAAACAATCTTGAATTTGAATCAGTTCATTGGAACGAACCGTGTGGAGCGACTGGCTCAAATGAATCGCTTTCTCAAAGCAAGTCGGTAAGGCTGCAATTATACTGTTTACCACTTGGTGACACTATTTATCAGTTTATTTATGCTTACAACCACTAAACTTCCTTGCCATGCATTATATAATAGTTTTCGTTTAGGCTATGATTTATATCCTAATTTGTCCAAGTTTTGACATGTCTAGAAGACTCTCTAGAAGATCTAAAAATAGCCCACACCATTCAGAATTCTGCATTGCATTAGATTTCATAAACAAACTTGCATTATTCTTTAACAGGCACATGGTGTTGGTCTAAAGAGAATCACATCTCTAAACTCTCATTTGTGAATCACTACCTATTCTGGACATGCGCCCTGAGGGCACATGAGGTGAAATGTTCTGGGGTTGAAGTACCTTTTTAAGATGTGATACATGCAGTCAGGCTACTCTGTAACCAACCGTTCCTGTGCGAGGTGCCTCCTGGCTCCATGCACCTGGTCAGTATTCTGATCACGTGACCTCAGGGCCACCGGGTGACCCATCGGGAACGGCTTTTGCACCCTGTCCCCGGCTTCAGTGGAGAATTTTCCACATTAGTTGTGTTAAGCTATCTGCGACACGGCTCTGAATGTATTAAAACAGAGCTTTAATGATGTTTAGGCATAAGAACAATGGGGTAAAATCTTGCAAAGTCTGTCTAAAGTGGAAAATGCTTACACTCTCCAGTCTCCACTAAACTAGCAGCACACTTGCGACTCAGAATGAGGAACACATTATATGATTTTGAAGTTAATTGCAACAAGCAGGGGTTGAAATAATGTTCTGTTATATTTAATAATAAATCGAGGAGTGTAATATAACAATTTTCTTTCCTCGTATTGATACAAATAGAACGCATGCTGCCACACGCTGAAGCTCAGTAAAATCAGATAATAGGATTGTGAGCTAGAATCAGATAGGCTATGTAATTCTTGCTGCGTTTGTGGGCGGAAAGTGTAGCAGGAAGACAAATTCAAGAGAATGTCTTTATCTACCAAGAAGGTGTTTGTCATTATCACGTTGCAGAGCTAAATTTGTGAGTGCTAACCTGGAATAATCTTTAAATCTGGACAGATATGAGAGATGGTGTCTGAAAATGGCATATTATAATGTTATCATTAGTGCTTGCTATATTTTAGGCTCAAAGTTCACATTAAACTTTATCGCATAATTCATCCAGCACCTCATACAGCCCTGAATTTCACAGATGGTTGAGGAGAGCTGTGCTATTACTTTTCTAAACCATTGGACTTTTCTTTTATGTCTGGCAGATGAGAAAATAGCATTAAATTATTTTGAAGGAGTGCAGATATTTATAGTATATGTACACCCCCCCCCCCCTTTTTGGATTTAAATAGGTAAATGCTTAAGAGTCAATGACTGTATCATTATTGCTGTGCAACTGTTTTTCTAACTCTCACTGATCGAGTGTGTATTTCACTCACTCATTAGTATTTCTTTTCTTAAAGGGATAGTTCACTTTGAAATTATTTTTTGGTATGTTTTAGCTTACCTCAAGGGCATCCAAGATGTAGGTGTCTTTGTTTCCACAGTAGTTTCAATTTTGATATTTTTAGGTCAAACCGTTCTTGTCTGTCAGTCATATAATGGAGGTCTATGGTCACCACCTCAAAGAGCATGCACAGAGAAGTCCAGATTAAACATGATTTAATAACTCGTAAATGTAAGTACACATTGATGGCCTAAGACACGGAACGAGCAGTTTGTGTGAGAAAACGAACAGTATTTATATCGTTTTGCACAGTCACAAATCGCCCGCGCCCTCAGATCACTTGGCCGTGGCTGTGGTTACAAAAGGTAAAAACATTATAAATACTGTTCGTTTTCTCACACAAACCGCTCGTTTCGTGTCTTAGGCCATCAATGTGTACTTAAATTTACGAGTCATTAAATCATGTTTAATTTGGACTTCTCTCTGCATGCTCTTTGAGGTGGTGACCATAGACCTCCATTATATGACTGACAGAAACGAACGGTTTGACCTAAAAAATATCAACAAACTACTGCGGAAACAAAGACACCTACATCTTGGATGCCCTTGAGGTAAGCTAAAACATACCAACAATTAATTTCAAAGTGAACTATCCCTTTAGTATTCTGTGTCATTTTTAGCATGTTACTTTACTATAATTTAAATCACAGTAGCCCAGCGAATACTTTTATTCGTACCTTTGACCTGTTGGAATATTTGCTCTTGCTAAATTTTATGGGTAGGCCTATTTATATTTGCTCAGCCTACACACTGCGGTAGATTTTTGTTCATGTCGACTGGGTAATGACCACAATGAGCTGAACTTGATGACCACAAGGTGACTGGTTTCACAGACAGGGCTTAGATTAAGTCAGGATTATGCCTTAGTTCACTTAGGACATTTAAGAAGCTTTTATAAACTTGCCTTAGAAAAACTCATTACTGGTGTGCATCTTGAGACAAAACATTATATAAGTTGCTTCCAGTTAAAACAGCTCAAACATTATTCCAAACTGTTTTTTCATGTGCTCTTTCAAGCTAAACAAGGTCAGGAGGTGTGTTTCTGCACACCTGTAGTGAGACACAGAGTTCCCCACGATCAGATAGTGCCAGCAGAAATATGGGCAATGACTCAGTTTGTTGTCAGGTAAGCAAACCGAACTGTTCGTGTTTCCAGTAAGACATGTCACAAAGGCTGACAGCAGGGCATGTCGGGAAGAACGGGTGTCTATTTTTAAGCTAAAGACTATTATTTATTTACAGTGATCCCCATGCAACTCATAGAGATGCAATAACGGAAAGCATGTATGCATTAAATAAAACACCCAGTGCTATAGGCTTCCTTCAAAAAGGACATAATTCAGGCTATATTCAGTTTTACACATCAGTAGCTACATATTTGTATGTACTGTAATTTAAATGCCACGTTAAGACTTTACTGTAACATCTCATTTGTTAACATTAGTTAAAGGGATAGTTCCCCAAAAATGAAAATTCTGCCATTTACTCACCCTCAAGATGTTCCAAATTTATTTTACTGATCACAAAAGAAGATATTTCGAAGAATGTCGGCAATGTCCCCATTGGCTTAGTGTTTTTTTTTCCATACCATGGACGTCATGGGGCCCAATGGGAAGTCAATTGAGATCGACATTAGCTAAGATTAATAAATGGCTGTAAGTGTTGTGAAGTTCATGTTAAGTCATGTAACTTCTAAAATCTTATTGTAAACTGTTACCACTATCATTTTCTCTCTCGTTTGATTTTAAGTTGTGAACTACGACCCAATATAAACAGACATAATCCGTAAAATCAATTATTTCTGTACTTCAATTGAAATGTGTGCCGTTGTGCAATTTGTGGCATTGGACCTTGCGCCAAGCGTCATGTCCAATGTGAGGTGTGTTCACCTTGTTCTAAAACATAGAAATCCCTTATGTAATCATTACATGTTTGGCACTGACATAACATCCAAGGTATACTTTTTTTGTCCCGGTGCCAAGATATAATATACAGTTTAGCTGCTTTGATACTAGGTAAGTAGTACACAACTATACACTTTAGTAACTGACTGTTCAAATCCAAGAATATTCCTAAGAGGAAGACAAAAACAAGGCACAGCGGAGCAATCTGGCAGAGACATCCGGAGAGTTGCCAGGAGAGGGTGGTTGTCATGATGCTGTTGCTATGGATGGATTTGTTTTGCTGGCTCATCTCTATCTCAGCAAGAAGTGAAAACACTTCTAGAAACACTCTGAGCATTTATAAAGATAATACGGTTTGCAATCCACAAGCTGGTTTTAGATTTAGGTGCATAAGGTTATCACTTATAGTACAGCCAGTGAGCAAAACTTTCCAGGAGTTTGGAACAGTTCAGTTGGGTCTTTTTAGATTGTGAAATCACTAAAATAAATATTTTAGTGTAAAAAAATATTGATGGTTTAACTTAAAAAAGTAAGTAACCTGGTTGCCTTAAAATCTTAAGTTCATTGAACTTGAAAAAGTGAGTTAATACAATGAAGGAGATTGATTTAATCATCAGAAACTCAAAATTATATGTTATCTGAACTAAATAAATTGTTTAAGTTGATTTGACAAAAGAAAAAATGTGATTACTACACCGTAAAAAAATATTGTTGGTTTAACTTAAAAAAGTAAGTAACCTGGGTTGCCTTAAAATTTTAAGTTGTATTGAACTGGAAAAAGTGAGTTAATACAATGAGGGAGATTCATTTAATCATCAGAAACTCAAAATAATAAGTTATCTCAGCTAAATAAATTATTATAAAGTTGATTTGACAAAAGGAAATATGTTGTGATAAAAAATCTTGAAAATATTTTTTTACAGGATAGTAATATCGTAACTATACTAGCTGGACAATAACTTTATTCTTGAGCTGCTGTAAAGCCAAAACAATCTCCATTACTTTAATTTCCTATTATCACTGCAAACCTGCTGAAACAGTCATTGTTAAAAGCACTATATAAATTAAGGTGACTTGACTTGACATTCATTTAATGCAGTTCAGCAAACTCTGACTTTTTATCAGCTATGTGGATTTCCTTACTGGAATTCATGTGGCCGATCCCAATTCCTAACCTGCTGCCCTCTGAGGAATTTGCTTGTTTGTCTGTGTGCTTTGGTTGACTTATGGCATGCGTAGCTGTCATCTGCATGCTTTCAGGTCATACAGCAAGATTCCTGTTAAACAAATGGTGATCACTTCTATAGTCATTCACAACCACCAACAATAAATGACATCACAAGTCAGATAACGCTTTCTGACAACACAAATAAATAGGTTATCTGTTACTGCACGGCGACCCTTTGAAAGTGTCTTGTAAACAAATGCATGCTTCAAAATACAGGTCCATAAGGTCACTAAAGACAACAGGGCAGTAAACACATTCACTTTTGTAAAGTGTTTGTCCATTATCAGGATGTCAAATTAATAAAAATACAAAAGGGCTTGGTTTTGATTGAAGTAGCCTATTAGATCCCTAAGGCTGGAAGGTATTCAGAATTAAGAAGCTACTTTGGAATTCATATGAAATATTTTTAGACCTCTTATTCTTAGACATTCTTGTTGGCAAGCAGAATAATAACTCAAAGCAACTTTTTGTCTCCCTTGAGAAGCACTACTGAGCACAGAGCGCCAGGGGATCTTGTTAGGGGTCAGTTTGTGAATTGTGTTGATGCCTTGGGGTGTAAGCATGTTGTGGAGTCCCAGTTGGCCAGCTTGCTATCATCCTGATAGCTCTCAGAATAAAGCCACGCGTGACTTCTGAGTGCTGAGGCTTGTATTGCGTGTTCTAGAAAGAAAAGTTTAGAAAGTTGCACTTTTAAATCATATGCTAAACAATAAAGATCCTTCCATTGTTCTTCTGTTTTTTTGTCTATTAAGTTCAAGTAAGTTGGTTATAGGGTTCATGTGAGATCAAAATGTTGGAATGTTCTATTGTTGGTTCTTTTGTTTCTGCATATTTAAAACGTCATAGGCTATATTACCATGAATTATATACAAATGTCTATAATTAAAAATATACTGTAAAAAATTATGTGATAAAGTTATGCCAAGTTTCTACTTTCACTGTAAAAAAATATTTTCATGATTTGTAATCGCAACATTTTATCTTTTGTCAAATCAACTTAAATAAATTATGTAGTTTAGATAACATAATATTTTGAGTTTCTGGATCTCCTTCGTTGTATTAACTCAATTTTTCTATTTCAATGAACTTAAAATTTTAAGGCAACCAGGTTCCTTCATTTTTAAGTTAAACCAACAATATTAAAAGTCAATGTACTTTTAATCTAAAAGTTTAATGTATTTTAAGTTGAAATTACTTAAACATCCAAGTTTATTGTTGGCTATTTAAAATTTAAGGCAGCAACAGATTTTTTTCTAATCTGTTAGTATTGATTTAGTTTTTCTTTTTGCATTAACTGAATAGAAAAATTAAGTGTCCTGTGTAGTTTAATAATGGATCTAATGCACCTTTACACAGGACAGATGTTTCTTTTAAATTAATTGTATTTGTCACTGCACGTAACTCAATTGATTTCTGTTAATTTAATAGCAATTATTTTAATTCCCTCTTCTATTCATTGCCAATGGGTGCATTAGGGTGAAGTGAATGTATTACAGCCATCGGAAACAGTTTCAGGAAGACAGACATATTTCGTTTCAATGATTATCCAGGGTTTTGTCAAATTAAAATCAGCTGCGCTTCCTGATACTTATAAATGAACACATATTAACACACGCGTGATCCCTTCTTGGCCTACTACAGCGAAGGCTTGTCTCATGAATGTTAATTACTACCGTGACGCTCCGCTTTCTGATTGGCTGAAAATAAGACTGCGCTCTAGTCAGTTCGCGAAGGAACGAATCCTACTTGGGCGAAGGCTCGGGCTCATGAATAATAATTACGTTGCGTGACTGGACGCTCCGGAACAGTTACCAAGCAACGCCTGTGAGGTCTATTTAGATATTCATGAGCTAAGCGTTTTCCATAGTAGGATTCGTATTTTTCCTCAGCGTCGCCCGTCTAGCGACTTCCTCCTGTCATATAGATGCGCAGGAACGAGCGCGTGTCAAATGGAACAATGTAACGGATCGGAGTTGACAGCCTCAGTCGAGAGGTTATTGATTAATCACGGTCCGGCTCCATAAGCATAGATAAGGGCAGAGATCCGCCAGGAGTGACAGGAGAATGACAGCAGGTCTGCAGTGTCTTCAAACCAAGGTAGGACCAGAGTGAATCATTTACCTGCGGTTTTAATACAACATTGTAACATGACGTGACACATAATATCTGTTTAATTGTAGTTTACGTAGGCTATTATGGCCCATATCTGTCTATTCTAATAGTTTGTTTAAAAGCCATAAATCACAGGTGATTAACTCATGGTTCTGATATAGCCTACGTTACATTGGTTGTGTAAAATATTTAAAACTACCCAATTGTTTATATATATATATATATATATATATATATATAGTTTAAATTTGAAAGATTTCAATTAGCAAATAAAGATTTTTTTATTATTATTATTTTAACCTAGCAGAAGTTCCACAAAGAACTTTATTCTATAGTTTATCTTCAGCAAGTCATCTGTAAACGTCAGATCAACCATTCTAAAGTATTTTTAGAGAACTGAAAGAACTTAATAATTCAAACGAAACCGCATAATAGCCCAAGAACATTAAAGACCCAAAATGGGGGTTTAATGGGTCTCTTGCTGAACTTTTAAGTGCTCGACAGAACCACAGAAGAACCTTTTGATGCTGTTACACAAGTTTTGCCCTGAAAAACAGCAACTGTTTTGCCACTTTGTTTCAATTGGTATAAAGTGTAGAATAAGTCTTAAATGAATGGAATTAACTTTCTTTACTGAAGGATATACGTGTGAAGTAGCACCGAGCCGTGTTAATTTACGTCGTCCCATGCTGCGCTGGATTTGATCGGACTACTAAGTAGGGATTTTGTTTCAGTGCGGAGGTAATGAGCAAATTGTTGTTGGCTCGTATACTCCCTTTCTGCCGTCCCGAAAAGACGTTTCTGGGTGCTCGTTTCTCTCAAGAATCGCCCAGAATGTTTCGTCCTGCCTCGTGTTTACAAGTAGCCTATATCACGTCATCATAATCAGTTTATGAACTTTTCACGTCCGGCGGAAAGTGAGTCCCGTCATACTTGCCGTGACGTGTTTGTAATGAAACTGCACAGCGAAGCAGGGTTTTAAATGTTTTCTAATCAGTGTCGGATTTGATATCTATCTATCTATCTATCTATCTATCTATCTATCTATCTATCTATCTATCTATCTATCTATCTATCTATCTATCTATCTATCTATCTCTATACTGTGAAGTTTTCATAATGTTATAATGTGGAAAATATTTCATTATTTGTAATGTGTAATTTCTTTAGGGGGTTTAAATTTGTTTAGCTCGGTTTTATCAATTCAAAATAGAAAAAAGGTCTTCACTCACATTTAATTAAAATTTAAGGCAGCAGTTAAACTTAAGTTTATAATATAGGTTGATATAGCTGCAGTATATCTATCTTAAAAATTGTGATCCAAACTGACGAAAGTAGAATATTTTTAGCTTTAATCGTTAAAAAAAGTTATAATAGGTGTAATTTCCTTTGGCAGGTGACAAGTCGACCTTATCAGACTCAGGCATTTCAGTGAGTTGTAACAGTACCCTGGCTCCAGAGACCTTTAAATACATTTCAAAAAACATTTTACCACGTGAGGTAAAGTGAGACGCCTCCAGCCCTCAAACTGCCCAGCGCTGGTTGGAAAGTTATATAGATGCCTTCAAGAGACACAAGCATCGGACGTTCATTGGGACCCATTTTTCTCGTTCATTTTTGTGACATTTTGCATTTGCGTGACAAATTTTGTGCAGAATAACTCACTTGGATTCTTTCTTTTTGTGCACACAGGCTAACATGTTGCTTTCTGTTGTTGTTTTAAAGGAAAATTTGCTTTGAATGGGGAACATAATTTGCATGCTACCCAAGTTCAGGCAGGATCTTACACAAACCTGGAGACGGGGAACGCACCTGCCTCTCTTCCTCGACCTGTAGACTCATTCATCAGCACCAGCCGTCTTTAATGGGATAAACTATCTCCAGAGATCAGGTGAACGGCTGATCTAAACTTAAGACCTTCGAGCTTCTTAATTTCTTCTTAATTGACACTTTTCATCCTAAGGCCTCCGCATGGTACTCTGGTCGAAAGATCAAGACAAACTGTCCGACATGTCCACCGGGACGGAAAGGATAGAGATGAAGAAGGAGGGGGCGCTGCCGGCATACCACCAATCCAATGGGTCTGTCCATCCGGTAATACTACCCGACAACCCCGAGGAGGTGCCGCAGACTCCCGGGGAGTACGAACTCACAGAGGTGACCTCCTTACCGGACCGCGCCGATCAGGAGAACGAGCGGCCGGACATGGTGGTCCTCGACTGTCGGGCCAACGCGAAGGGTCAGAGGGAGGAGGACGCACTCTTGGAGAACGCCAGCCAAAGCAATGAGAGTGATGACACTAGTACGGACCAAAGCCCGGTGCCACCGGCTCCACTGAAGGAAACGTCCTTCTCCATTGGACTCCAGGTTTTGTTCCCTTTCCTGCTGGCAGGGTTTGGGACAGTTGCAGCTGGCATGGTTCTGGACATTGTTCAGGTGAGTAAAACCAAACTGCCTTGTGTTTAGTGTAAATGTTGGGGACAAAACAAAACATTTCAAATAATTAAATGGAAAATATGTGGGGGAAAAAATCCAGTATTGGAATATTATAAGAACATTTTGTTCTGGAATTAGGGCTGTCAAACGATTAATCGCGATTAATCGCATCCAAAATAAAAGTTTGTGTTTACATAATATATGTGGGTGCACTGTGTATAATTATTTTGTATATATATATATATATATATATATATATATATATATACATACACATGCATGTATATTTAAGAAAAAAATATGATTTAAATATAAAATATTTATATATAATATAAATTATATAGAAATCTATATTCAGTATATATGAAAATATTTCTTAAATATATACAAGCACGTGTGTGTATTTATATATACATATATAAAATTATTATACACAGTGCACCCACATATATTATGTAAACAAAATTTTTTATTTTGGATGCGATTAATCGTTTGACAGCCCTATCTGGAATATATTTATTTGTAGCCAAGACTTTTCTGTATTTTATCTTGTTTATTGAAAAGAAGAACTACATCTAAGCCTGACATGTACAGTCATAAGTAAAACTAACTGGGACATATTCTCAGGTTTTGCATGCTTGTGATGCCATTGACAGAAAGCCCATCAGTCAGAGTTTTTCAAATGACCATGTCCTACGCTAAACTGTTTAGTAACTTAATATCACATTTTAATCATGCTGATTTTTAGAGGAGAAAAACTGAAATGACACTCTTCGTGTGATATTGATTAACTACATAAAATGATACAAATATATACATTTTCTAACCTCCATATCTTAAACTTTGTGATCATTCACATGCATTCATAAATACATTTTAGGGTCTTGATGTTTGTCAATAATATGAAATATTTAATCCGGAAAGGACAAAACAAATGATAATGAATGAACCCAAAAGGTTCCGTATAGAACCTTTTTCCTGGTTACAAAGAACTCTAAAGGGTTCTTATTATTGAACCCTTAAAAGAGATCTGTTCTGTATAGAACCTTTTAGGGGTTCCAAATACGTAGCGCTGATAGAACCTTTTAAGATTCTATATAGAACCTTTTCTTCTAAGAGTGTACGCTCTTCGGATGCTGGTTGCTTGCATCAGGTTCTTTCCAAATAAGCAGTGAGCACGTGCTGCTCCATTCCAAGGGGTTCCCTTTTCCGCAACAGCACGTGGAAGGGTGTAACGGTGTCGATTTTAATTTAGAGGATGTGTAAGGTCTATAAATAATGGAAATCTACATAGGGTCTATTTTCCAACAGTGATACATTGCCACAAGATGGATGGATGGATGGGTAGATAGATAGATTGATAGATTGATACATAGATACATAGATAGATGTTGACTTGCAATCATATATGTGCTTGTTTTTACGTTTGGTCTGTTTAAAAATAAGCACATCTCGGCTGACAGGGTGAATATTTTTTTTAAGGTCAGTCTAATAAAGATGAAGTCAATAAGATAAGTGTCTTAGTGGCAGTCATATCACTTTCACATTTAGCTCAAACCTTTTTTACTCATGGCTGCTTTAATTCCTCAGTGCTGTACTGTATCTGTACTACCTACACTACTCTACAGATAGACATATGACTTTCTATCCCTGGGTACTAGATGCAAGAATGGAGAACCATGTGTTTTATGGGTTTTTTTTTTTGTGTGTGTTGTTTCTTTTAAAAAACAGTGTGTGTACAGAGTCTATGAAGAGGTGTCTTGTTCCATGTAATACTTGCCTCACTTCCTCAGTTTCCTGCAGTAAATGATAGAAATCACACATTTGAAATCCAAAGAGTGATTGTTTGTTACTTGTTGTTTTCTGAGGAAAGGGTGTAGACCTGATTGGCGTATAGACATTTTATTACCAATTGTGTGAAAGAGAGTTCACTAGTTGTTGCTCACATACAGCATTTATGAGGTTTTAGCACACTTCAGCTCCACACCCTTTGTAGTCTTAACCAGCATGGAAACTTGTTTTTCAGCCGACTTGGTGATTTTGCCTTTTAGCCTGCTGATGTGGAATGTATTGTTCTTGAAAACCTCTTGTCAGACCTGTTTGTGCTGAAGTTTGAATGTGTGAAAAACTATTTTTACCACAAGGACGACAGACTAAACATTAAGGCCGGACAGGAATCCAGTTAGGGTTTACCACATTCATCGTCATCGCATTTTGACAGATTTCAATGCAGACAGACAGGAATAATGTCCTGTCCTAACCCTCCGTGTGCTGAGATCTTATTGTAAGTTTCTGTGTTGCCCAATTTGATGTTTGATCACATGATTGGCTTCTATTATTCACGAGTGCAGTTGAGTGATTTCACGTGCCAACAGCAAGTTTTGTGCCAGATGTCCTGTGGAGTAACTGTGGTCAGGAACAGGTGCAGAGAACTTGTACCTCTCTTCTCTCCTAGTGTCTCAAAGATCAAACTAATGACTTGTTCTGTTTGCGAACACACATAAATCATCTAATTTCCTTGAACAATTAGCGTGTAAGATTTGATGTGATTATTTAGTGGCGTTGCCAAGGCTAGTGTCAATATTACTTTGGATTTAGTGTAGGAGTGCCTAATCGGACTTGGAGATCCACTGTCCTGCATAATCCCTGGCCCCAATCCCTTTAATATTTATTTTTATTTATCTATGATGTGTAGTTTGTCTCAAATTGTTGGCAGTGTTATTAAATGCTAGGTATTTTTATTCATATTTAAACTAGCTTTTATTTTAATATTTTACGCTGCGTGTTACGTTCTTGTTTCCGGGAAGTCAGTCGCTAGTTCCACCGTCTCAATGACATCACGCACCTCGTTAAAAACTAGAACTGTCAAACGATTAATCGCGATTAATCGCATCCAAAATAAAAGTTTGTGTTTACATAATATATGTGGGTGCACTGTGTATAATTATTTTATATATATATAAATACACACACATGCTTGTATATATTTAAGAAATATTTCCATGTATATACTGTATATAGATTTATATATATACTTTATATTATTTATAAATCTTACACAAACCTGGAGACGGGGTATATTTAACTTTATATTAAATATAAATATTTTTTATATAAATAATATTTTTCTCTTAAATATACATGCATGTGTGTGTATGTATGTATATATATATATATATATATATATATATATATACAAAATAATTATACACAGTGCACCCACATATATGTCAATACAAACTTTTATTTTGGATGCGATTAATCGTTTGACAGCCCTATTAAAAACGGCAAGCAATAATTGGTCGGGAAGAAACGTGTAGTCTGAGATGACACAGTCAAAATTGCATAATCTGACTAACGTAACACAAAAATATTATTTAGTCTGAACCTTGCATTAAAATGTTTCCCTGATCGACAAAAACCCTTGGAAAAATGTCCCATAGACTTAAATTGAAGGACTTTTGCCATAATCTAGATCTGTCCACAGCTTGTTTTGTTTTCAGTAAGCAAGCATCTCACAATACCTCATTGCAACCATTAAGATCTCAATAGAAGACGCATAGAGAAATTAACAAGCAAAATTGTTAAGCACTAATCACATTTTCCAGACAATTTCCAAATTATTAAAGGGTTAGTTTACCCCATTTTTTAAATGATCCTTATTTTTCTAATATATTGACTAATGTCTCAGTATTTTTCCATACAGTCAAAGTCAGGGACTTTTAAATATATATATATATTTTTTTTTCCACAGTAGATAGTCAATAGACACTTTTATAAATAAAGTTTTTTATTGGCATCTGTGGTTTCATAAAGAACCATTAACATCCATGGAACCTTTCCTTCACACCAAAGGTTCTTTAAAGTGTAAAAGGGTTCTTTAGATTTGTAAAACATGTTTCTTTTACGTTTTTATGAAAATTTTTGTGGTTGACAAGCCATTTGACAAGTTTATCTTAGCATGCACATAGATCACTGCAGGTTCACCGGTGTTAAACACACCCCAGGTTGGTAGTGTGTCTTCAGAATTCCTCTGTGACCTTATACTCTGAGCCTTGGAGACCAAGGTGCTGGAACCGAGGAGCGTTGCCAGCCAACATTACACAATCCTGCAATCCGAGCCCCCCTCCGGTTGCATGCCTGCACTGCTGTGCGTCAAGTTCGCAGAACCCTGGGAGGCACATGGAGGCATTGGCCAGGACTGCTCTGTTCCCTGAAGACAACATCGTTCTGGGGGAGGGAGATAGACAGAGTAGAGGAGGTTCAGTCAAAGGGAACCGAAGACAAAGTGGCTGGGCGCCAGCTCCCAATTGATGTTCGTCCTTTTTTTAAAAAGGACTGCCAAAGACTCAAGGAAAAAGAAACGGCCATTAAAACCCGCCTACTGGAAGCTGCACCGCTCAAGCCCCTTAACTACTGCTATTTGTAGGGGTTTTTCTGTTGTTGTGTGTTATGTTTACAGTTCACTTTTTCTCTAACGTTACGTTAGCAGTGCCCCCGCCACACTTTCTCACTCTCTCCATGTGCTGACAAGATGCTGCTAGAATTGATTTAGCTAGTCAGTGTCAGGCCTGTAATTGCTGTGCACCAGTGGGAATGGGTCTAAAGATAAGCTCTCCATCTATGTATTGATCTATACTGTCTGCTGCTGCATTGCATCGAAAGCACCGCAGCCTAATGGAAAAAAAAAAACAGCTTGCCAGTTACCAGAGTCATCAGCTTGGTCAGACATCTCAAATCGGGTGCTTGGAAGAGGTTCAAATGGACGGAGGCGTCTGAGATTAACATTGGCAGATGATAAGTTCGGTGTGATCAAAGCGTTTCCCCTTGGAAACTTTGTTATAAATGGAACAGTGTGTTTGTTTTTTAGGGTTTAATCTCACATGCAAGGATTCCTCTTTCGTAGCTATATATTTGAGTTTTCTGTCTAAATTTTTTCCTAACATTTCGTTAAAAAATAGAATGGACACAAACAAGTCAATTGCAGACATACAGTTAAAATGCAGAGCAATAACATGTGAATTAGATCATATTAGGCAATATTATATAACTATTAGCACTCTCAAATCAATTAATTGATTAATCACATCTAATCACATCTATATATATATATATACACAGTATATATGTAAGTGTTTACATGCTGTGTATAATTATTTTGTATATATAAATACACACACATGCATGTATATATTTAAGAAAATGTATTATTCATATATAAAATATTTATATTTATATATAATATAGGTTATTTACATGCAAATGATTCCTAAATATATACATGCATGCATATGTATTTATATACAAAAATTTGCACAGCCCTAATGTGTATATATATATATATATATATATATATGCATGTTATGCGATTAATCACGATTCATCAATTTGACAGCACTAATAACTATTTTTTTTTTCTGGCAGAATCACGATCTGCAATCTTATTACACATCTTTTTCATGTTTGATTATTGATTATCATGATTATTTAGCAAGTTCTGATTTCCCTATTTAAAAAGATAGCCCTTCAAGTTAAAACATAAAAGTAAAACGACCAACAGGATATTTAAATTGAGATCTTTTGGTATATTGGCTGATAGGAGAACATTGTGAGATATTGTTGAGATCACAAAAATGGGATCACGGTGTTTAGTTCCAACATGGCTTCGATCTCTAGTTGTTGTTGTTAGGCTTTAATGTTTAGTGATGCTTCTAGCTAAAAAAGTTTCTCTTTCTCAATAGCATTGGACGGTATTCACAGAGGTGACTGAAGTCTTTATCCTGGTGCCTGCTCTCCTGGGCCTGAAAGGAAACCTGGAGATGACCCTTGCGTCCAGACTGTCTACCGCGGTAAGACTTTTAATACATTCAACACATTAGATTTCCAATTGAACCATTTTTTGTTTTAAAATAGAATAACAGATGAATGTTGATAAAACAGAATAAAATTAAGATTCATGTCACTGAGATGTCAAAATAGGGACTTAATAACCATCTCGTCTGAATTTCATGACGCAGTTTCACCTGTGTGGTTTTCTTTTGTCTGGATGGTGACTAATGTTTACTTCAGCCTTTGTGCAGCTTTCAGAGGTGTGTTTGAGTTTCAGGAAGAATCAGGAGGAATCATTCCTGCTGCTGTAGAAACTACACTTATATTTTCATTTGAAGGTTAGATAAAGAGCCGTTGACTAAAGTATAGTTTGGTGCATTTTTGGTGAGTGGAGGCGTGCTATTACTTTTCTAAGTGATCAGATGATAAAATGTCTTACACTTTTAACTTGCCTTACAAAAAACTCATCTCTATAACACTGTGTCGAAACATTTGCTGTGGGGTTGCCAGGGCTTGTTGCGGAACTATCTGAAACTGCAGAACAATGGCCTGGCAATGAGTTTTGTATAGACAAACAACACTTACATCACTCTAAAAAATGCTGGGTTGTTTCAACCCAAATTTGAGTCAAATATGGACAAACCCAAATGTTGGGTTAAAAATGTAATAAAAAAAATTTACAGTTGAAAGTGAAAGTTTTAAATTTTAAATTACATTTTTCGTCAATATTTGACCCAAATTTGGGTTAAAACAACCCAGCATTGTTTAGAAGTTTGGGGTAAGATAAATATGATTTTATTCAAAAAGGATGCATTAAATTGATCAAAAGTAACAGTAAAGACATTTAGAATGTGACAAAATATTTCTATTTCAAATAAATGCTGTTCTTTTGAATTTTATAAGAATCCTAAAACAATGTATCATGGGTTTCACAGTAATATAAAGCAATAGAACTGTTTTCAGCATTGATAATAATAAACAAATGTTTGTTGAGCAGCAAATCAACATATTAGAATGATTTCTGAAGGATCATGTGACACTGAAGACTGGAGTGATGATTATAATCATCATGATAATAAGAATATTTTCAAATGTATTAAAATAGAAAATTTCACAATATTACTGTTCAAATAAATGCAGCTTCAGTTTTTCCAAAAGACATTACAAAATCTAACCAACCTCAAACTTTTGAATGAGTGTAAAAGTTTGTTTACTTGTACGTTTGAATGTACATATGTCTGTAAGCAGGAACATGTGAGGTCAGTTATCCACTATTAAATGTTTTAACAAAGCTTTATTGTCCCTCACTGAAGTATGTTAAAAGTAGGGTATTAACTTGAGCTGTCTACCACAGTCTCTCAGAGCTTAATGGGACATCATGTAGGACACTATGGTCAAATTAACATCATGTTAATCCTGTTAAGCACATGACTGTACACTTCCCCTAGTTACTCCTACACCCGATGTGTCTCGGCTAGACTCGGATATGCCGGGTTTGTGGTTCATAGCCAGACATTCTTTTGGGCTGTGGTTCTATGGGATCCTGCCACAAGATTACATGTTTAATCAGAACACATCCACGTTTGCTGGTTACATATTGGAGCAGTGTTTGCACTCTGTGGATGACATTGTGTTTCATTTAATTACGCAAGGTAATAAGCCATCCCAAAATTACATTTTTCATCATTTACTCACTTTCAAGTCATATTGTTTTATTAAGAAAAATTGGAATGACTTGGGAGAAAGTAAATGATGTGAAATTGTTCATTTCTGGGTAAGCTAAATCCTGTTTAAATACCTTTACTTGTTAAACACTTTAAACTCATGAGTAACAGAAAGCGTCGACCCCGCAGTCCTGAGGTCGTCCGTGTGCTGTAAATCTAAGTGCTTCGCTGCTGTATTTCTCAGAGCCCACTGCTAATTATCAGCAGATTAACAGCACTGTTGCTTTTTAATGCTCTTACGGAACTTCAGGAAAGATTGAATTCCTTAGCATTAATTAGATCCACATGACCACATTTTTAATTTCTTGCTTTTGAAAAAGACTCTTCTTGTTGAAAGTTGGCCCATTTGAAGAGCCCATTATCAAATTTTCTGTTTCCTATTCCAGCAGGAATTTGGGATGGGACATATCAATGGGTGTGTCTTTTTTTTTTTCTAATAGCTATGATTTGATTGGAGGGATTTGCATTTACAATATTATGCTACCGAGCGTTTTATTGAACAAAACTTTTGCTGATAATTTACTCACCCCCATGTTATCCAAGATGACCATGTCTTTCTTTCTTTAGTCGAAAAGAGAACGTTTTTTTAGTCATTTGGTTCATTCAGAAAAAGATTTGTTCATTTTGATGAACGAGTTCGAACAGGAGAGTCACGAACGCGCATGACAGAACAGAGCAAGGCGAGCATTTGAGCTTAATATAAAACTTAAACTTTTTTATTTATTTTTTAATGACCGATTGTTTCGCTTGATAAGACCCTTATTCTTTTAAAGCCCTTTGAACAGTTTGCACTGAAACTTTTATTTGGACCTTGAACCGTTTGGTTCCCATTGAAGTCCATTATATGGAGAAAAATCTTGTAATGTTTTCATCAAAAACCTTAATTTCTTTTCGACTGAAGAAAGAAAGACATGGACATCTTGGATGTCATGTGGGCGAGTAAATTATCAGCAAAAGTCATTTTATCTGAGCTTGTGGACAAAAACAGGACTAAACTCTACGTTCGCTGCCTCTGCCAGAGGATCCTCCAATGTCTGCTTCTGAATTGCGTGGTTTATTAGCTTGTAGACGTGTACGCCACCATGTTTTGCCTAGAATGATTTGCGTAGAGCTTATCGTCGTCACTTAGACCCTCACGAGTAAGTGGCAGGCTGTTGAAGGAATAGTTTACTGAAAAATTAAAGTATTGTTATTTAAAATACCACCAATCATTCCAGTCTTGTATTATTATTATCTTTCTGTAAAGCACAAAAAGATATTGGGCAGATTTCTTTTTTTAGCTTTTTCTTCTGGCAGAAACAGAAGAAAAAGCTAAAAGCGCCATCAAATGATCATAAAAGTATGATTTGTGTGAATTATTTAAAGTCTCCTGAAGTTATACGATAGTTTTGTGTGAGGAAAGAGGTCCCTCTGGTGAAGCCGCGTTATTCATATTCAGATTATTATTATTTATGAATCTTTTATAATGGTTCACAAAACCAGTCTGAATGAATCGCTTATGAATCATCCGTTTCTTATTTTTGTCTCTTTTCATTGTAATTCCCTCGACCACCACATTGTTTTGATGAAATTGAGTCATTAGGGAGAGTAAACAATGACAGTATTTTATTTTTTGAGTGAACCATTTAGATCAGCAGTGGAAGTAGCCGAGCCATCTCTGTTTTTACCCCTCGTGTGTGTGCATGTGTGTGTGTGTGTGGACATACTCCGGAACAATCAGCATGATCGCCGGAGTAGGGTCACCTCAGAGAGCAGCAGGCGGTTGGCATCCTCTCAAGAGCTCCTTCCTTTTGCCTCATGGAGTCCCTGTGTGCACACACACACATACATATATGCATGCATTCACTTCATTTAAACCCCATTAACAGCCTCTCCTGCCTGCTTTTTCCTTTATCCTGTTGCACAGGATATTTGTAATATAGTAGTGTTGCTAATTTACTGTTATTGTAGTTTGGGCCAGAACAGAAATCAGACTGAAGGAAAAAAGAATATGCCTTGTGAACACTGAATGAACAACAATGATTTATAGACACACAGAATCAAGTATTGATGCTTTTAGTGGTCATTTTATTACTATAGGTCACATTGACCCCGAACCCTAAGAGTTCAACTTTGGCATGTAAGTCACCCTGCCTCAAATTGTGTAGCTTATTTAGAGAGATGTGCTATTACTTTAATATTATTTTCTATTATTATTAAAGGAGTAGTTCACTTTTGAAAAAAGCTTTTGCTGATAATTTACTCACCCCCATGTCATCAGATGTCCATGTCATTCTTTCATCAGTCAAAAAAAAAAATAATAAGGTTTTTGATTTTGGTTTTCTAATGGACTTCAATGGGAACCAAACGGTTCAAGGTCCAAAAGACACTTTCAGTAGAAACTGCAAACTGTTCAAAGGGCTTTAAACGATTCCAGACTATGAATAAGGGTCTTATCAAGCGAAACGATTGCTCATTTAAAAAATAAATAAATAAATTTGTTTGTTTCGTTAGTTGAATGAACCAAATCACTCTGAAAAAGATTTGTTCATTTTGATGAACGAGTTTTAACAGGAGAGTCACAAACATGCATCACAGAACAGAGCAAGGCGACCATTTGAGCTTATAAAACTTAAACTTTGTTATTTTATTTATTAAATGAGCAAGCGTTTTGCTTGATAAGACCCTTATTCATTGTCTTGACATGGATATCTTGGATGACATGGGGGTGAGTAAAAGTTTTTTTAAAAGTGAACTACTTATTTCGTTTTGAATAATATTTATGTTAATTTTTATCAATGTTTTATCAACAAATTGCCTATCCAGCTGGATAAATCTAAATAAGAAGCAAATAAAGTAGACAATACACTGTGAAAAATATTGTTGGTTTAACTTGAAAAATGAAGTAACCTGGTTGCCTTAAAATTTTAAGTTGATTGAACTGGAAAAATTGAGTTAATACAATGAAGGAGATTGATTTAATCGTCAGAAATTCACAATATTAAGTTATCTGAACTAAATAAACGATTTAAGTGTATTTGACAAAAGAAAAAATGTTGTTATAACAAATCTTGAAAATATTTTTTTTACAGTGTGTAATTACGACACGGGGGCGCCGGTGAGTGAAATGGAGTACGTCTCACACCGAAAACTTGACAGAAAACACTATTTATTAATACAAAATTCAAATATTTAATGCATAATAAGTCTGGTTACTATACTTTACAGTATCCGGTTCTTTGTGGCAAAGTTTTAGCTCTTTTACAAGATTAGCATAGTAGCCCCCTTCAGACTCTCTGTTCTATAAGATTGGGTGTACACAAAACCTTCTTTTCTCTCTGGTCTTCACTTGATGATGATGATGATGAAGTGTCGATGTTTTCTCAGCTGTCGGCGCGAAGGTTTTGGAATGTTGAAGTTCTGAACGTCGCAAATTCGTGTCGCGGCTGGTTTTGACACAAACTATTCGCTTTTCCGTTTCGCTTTTTCGTTACGCGTCCGGTGTGAAAGGGCCTTAAAGCATTCTCATTCTAACATGTGAAAACATTTAAAACAGCTTATTAATGGCAAAAGAAACGCACTGATCCTGGCAACATCCTTGCATTGTTTCAGCGACTTTTGTACTGGCAAGGAGCATTTGTGTGTTTTTTTTTTTTTTTCTTTTCGTTTTGGTGTTTTTTGTTTTGTTTTTTACGTTAAAATCTGTTTTATTTTGTCATGCAGTGTGTAATTGAGTTTTTTAAAGCAGTGAAGCGGTGGAGTTCACAGGAAGCTCAGAAGTGCTACAGCTCTTTTGAAACATAATGAAAGGCTACAGTGAGGTGCACTGAATGTCTAACAGAGACTGCTGGGCTGTCGGCCTCTGTCAATGCATTCTGAACACGTACTCGGGCTATTCTACTTCCTGTCTCATTTAGGAAAGAGAACTGGATCCACACATTGTGTGTTGGGCTCCTGTACTAGATTTGCATTTTAGAAATTGCCTGCCAAGATGTACATTTTTAGACATTTGAAATAGGAAGTTGGGGCAGAACATATCAAAGGGGTTGTCCTTTTTCAATTGAAATAACATACCATATCTGTATTAATTCTGTGCGCAGCATGCAAATTTCAGTATGCATGGAATAGCCAGAAAACCATACTAAGTTATGCTCAAATATACTGTATGCAATTCACCTTCCATTCCCAGGTTAACAAATTAACCTGTATTTTTTTTTAAAAATAGTTAAGACATTTTTACACACAGTTGTATCATAAAAGGAAATATATTATGTTTTATACAGTGTGTGTATATATACTATGTGTGTGTGTGTGTGTGTGTGTGTGTGTGTGTGTGTGTGTGTATATATATATATATACATACAATAGGTGGACAACCTGAATGACACTTACCGCCGCGGCAAAAATAAACCAGCCATATTTCAAAGTCGTTCACGAAATGACCACCAGGTGGCGCAACGGGACATTTAGCGACATCTAAAAGTAATTATGTAAAAGTTGCCTACATTTTAAATAGAATATAGCAAACTTTTATAGCAGAACATTTTATGAATCAAAAGTTAAAATAGGCCTATCTCGCAGTTAGTGAAAATAAATTGGGTGCGATCAATGACGCTATTGAGGAATGAGAAGATTGAAGAGCGCTTCTTTCTCACACGCGCACACTGTGTGTGTGTGTGTGTGTTTGTGTGTGTGTGTGTATTATCCACACATCATCATTTTGTATATCATTTTACATCATGTGAATATATATATATATATATATATATATATATATATATATATTCTAAATGATAAATGGACTGATTTGTAATAAGGTCATGTGATTATTTAGTAGGGAGTAAGTAAGCTAGTATTTATTGCAAAAGCCCATAACTACATGCTATTACTGTTTCTGCTGGTTTTCAGATGGTTTTACTAGGATTTATGTCAAATGATACGAGTATTTCACACTGTAGATGCACTCAGAGCTAATAGACATGAACGACGAGCCACACAACATTTTGCTATTGAGGAATGAGAAGATTGAAGAGCGCTTCTTTCTCACGCTGCGCTGTGTGTGTGTGTGTGTGTGTGTGTGTGTGTTTATTATCCAGACATCATCATTTTGTATATCATTTTACATCATGTGAAATATATATATATATGTATATACTATATATGAAGAGTTCAGATGCAAAAGCCTCTAAATGCCATTTGAAATTTTCTTCTTTAATGATGATTTTTATCAAACTTGTATATTTAAGTTCAGTAATTTCACTTAAATGGCAATGATAATTACCTATTAATTGTTATTTAAGTGAAATTACTGAACTTAAATATACAAGTTTGATAAAAATCGTCATTAAAGATGAAAATTTCAAATGGCATTTAGAGGCTTTTGCATCTGAACTCTTCAATATATATATTCTAAATGATAAATGGACTGATTTGTAATAAGGTCATGTGATTATTTAGTAGGGAGTAAGTAAGCTAGTATTTATTGCAAAAGCCCATAACTACATGCTGTTACTGTTTACGGTGGATTTCAGATGGTTTTACTAGGATTTATGTCAAATGATATGAGTATTTCACACTGTAGATGCACTCAGAGCTAATAGACATGAACGCTGAGCCACACAACATTTTGTTTTCAAAGGTTTTTACTTTTTTTGTTCTTAAGGCACAACGATTATCTTGAGGCAGGTAGTGTTGGTGGCAGGGCCAGGTTGGGAAAGACCCTCTTTAGGGCCGGGGCCACTTGACATTAGTGTCTGCACTGAGAGAGATGAGATAAGTAGGGAGAGGAGGATGAGATCTGTCCGGCTCATAAAACCCTCTTTTGTCTTGTATACTGACCACTGTTTGTTCTAGTGGAAACTGAGCCCAAGGCGCCTGAGCACCAGCAAAATGTACATTTCCTGCCATGTATGTTTCATTGTTTCGTTTTCACGGAAAGATCACTGTTTAATGAGGACGGTATCAGCTCTATTCGTTTTTTGGGGGTCCTTAAAGACAGTGTTTCATGTATTTCAGAGTGAAACAAAATATCCTGTGGGAAATAATGTAGGACGGGACTTTGTTTTATCCGTTGGGATTTGATTGGATCATGAAATGTTTCACAATGATATTATTAGTGGTGCTTGCGAAGGCTTTTGTTCTGAACCCGTAACCCAAAGTATTCAGCTTTAGCACGCAACACTTCCTGCACTGCCTTCGCTTCGAATCATGCAGCTTTTCTAAGCGATAAGATGTTCGATTTTTTTGATTGGTGGATGAAAAACTGGGCAAAAAAATCTTTTAAATTTACATTGAAGAAATATCCAGAATCAGAAAAAAACTGAGGCCAGCTTCTTTAGAAAATGTCAATGAAAAATGTAATTGGTTAACAGTTATTCTATTGTTTCAGAGGCAGAGAAAGTTGATTAAAAATGATGTAAATGTTTATTTTTATGTTTTGAATGTTAACTTTAGGTCAGGTTTGGGGCATGTTGAATCTGATTGCAAAAATAAAACTGCATCTTAAGCGAGATTAGTGCTGCATACTCGCTCAGAGGAAAGTGAAGTGGTTAAACTATAATGGGAACATTTGTAAATGGACTTCCTGTGTTCTCTCTTCCCCCGTCTCACCAGGCTAATATTGGACAAATGGATACCGCCAAGGATATGTGGAAAATGATCATGGGAAACCTAGCACTAATTCAGGTTGGACACCTTCTAAAAATATCAATCCAGTTTGTCTAATGCACATGCCAACACTTCACTTCACAAAGGCTTTGTTCAGACAAACAGTGAAAATCTGATTATTTGGCGTATCTGACTATGAAATTAGCAAATAAGCATTGGATGAAATCCAGTCTTTACCAACTAGATCCACATCCAAATGTGGTTTAAAATCTGAATAAATTTTTTTTTAAATTAATATTAGTTTTAACGTGTCTTAGTCATCAGTATTATTGAAATACTTTTACAGTATTTGTTGATATTTTCAATGAGCTTTTCTTTGTTGATATTTTCAATGAGCTTTTCTTTGTATAATTTCAGTTTAAGTTTTAGTAATTGTAGTACTTCAACTTCATCTAATTTATTTCAGTTTCCTAAGTTCTAATATTTCCATTTTTATTTTATTTCAGCTTTAAATGACCAAAAATGATAATTAGTTATACTGAACGTTATACGAAGTGCATAGTATTGACTGAAGCTTTCCAATGTTTCCTTATACTGTACATGGTTTGAATATTTAATGAATAAACACGTCAGTTCTTCAGAAGAATCAGATCAGATTTGTCAGTCCTAAAGATTTGTTCGATTTTTGCACCGAATGAGTCACATGTCATGTGTGGTTTGACATTTCCAGATTGTACTTTCGAAGGAACAATTATGTAATGACTGGGTGATCTTTTTCTTTGAAATTACCCTAAAATCCAATAATGGCATGTGTACACTAATGATGAAAGAGGTCAAAGTAAACTTGACATGTACGGGACAGAAGACTTTGAACTTGGTCAAAAGAGGTGTCTGAGTTCATGGTGTCCTTCCTGCTTTCAGGTCCAGGCCACCGTGGTCGGCTTCCTGGCTTCCATCGCTGCAGTCATTTTTGGCTGGATTCCAGAGGGTAATTTTAACATGGGTCATGCCGTCCTGCTCTGTGCCAGCAGTGTGGCCACCGCATTCATCGCTTCTTTGCTGCTAGGTGAGAGGTTGAGTCATCTACTGTACCTCTGAGTTGAGGAACCTGACACTTTGTGTCCCTAACATCCCAGGATGCTTCAAATGTTTTACAGTCTTGCAGTCAGATGGCTTCTCAGTGCAGCACGTTAAATACATTTTAAGAGAAAATAAATAAAATAAGCAAGATATGATGTGCTGTGTATGTACACTGTGAAAATAAATGTGCTTTATTTAATCCAAAAAATTGGGATTCATTGTGAATAAAAAAACAGACTACAAGCAATAATATTAATTCATTTTAACAAATTAGAATTGAGCAATAATTAATCAAATTACTTCCTTAAAAGCTAACCATTTAACATGAGTAAAAAAAAATGTTTTAAGTAAATTTAAGTCACCATTATGGTGATCAGTGTTTGTGTTACATTTGTTTTAAAATTACGGTTTTCTCCTTCAGTGATTCTGCTTGTTAACATCAGGTGTCTTCAATGTTGGCAATATAAAATAAAGAGTTCTTACTTAGATATTTTTGTTTATTTTTTGGTGTAAACTACTCATTTTAAATGGTTAACTTTTAAGGAATAATTTGATTCATTATTACTCAATTCTAATTAGTTAAATTTAATTAATATTATTGCTTGTAATCTGTTGCCACAATTTTATTGATTAGATATAGCATATTCATTTTTACAGTGTATTGAGATGACCAAAAAAAAATATTTTAGTTGCAAATGTGTCTGTTTTAATTATTTATGAAAATGTTTAGAAATGTAGAATTACAGACCTGGTATATTTTCAAATAACACTTTTTTTTTTTTTTATCATAATGCTGAGATATTTTGTTAACATTTTTTTTTTTACAAAAATAGACACATTTTCTTTGCATGTTCATTAAAATATGGGATATAAAGTAATAAAGCAAAACTGATGATTGAGTCATGTTAAAGGGATAGTTTACCCTAAAATGAAAATTAAGTCATCATTTACTCACCCTGGTGTTGTTCTAATGTGTTCTCACGCTCGTCCAGATAATGACAATGAATAGCAACCAGCATTAAGCTTTTAAAAAAAGATGCAAAAGCATCACAGAATGATCCCATGTGACGCATGTCATATTTTCCAAGTGTTCTAGGGTTATATGATAGGGTTTGGCAAAAAAAACCAAAAAAAAAACGAAATTGAATATATTATTTAACAAAATTCTTGACCTCGACTGTGTTCGTGAGACTGTATTAGCGCCACAGTTCACCCAGAAATGGAATTTTTGAGGAATCAAGATTAATAAACAAGCCTAGAAATCCCAAAAACGCATTGTGTATACTTCCTTAACGGTGTTAAATATCTCCAGACCGGAACTCCGTTTGTCTGATGACGGTCAGTAGGAGAGTTGACAGATGTGAATACGATAACTTCTTGTTGCGATGAACACAAGAGATATAGAAAGTACATGGATAGTGTTTCATGCCATGTTTATCTTAGTCTTGGTTTCTCACAACTTGTTTGTTTTTCTCACGAACGAACACAGTCGAGTACAGACGACCAACAGCCAAGCTCAGGATTTTCATTTAACAATACATATACAATTTTGAATTCAATCTTCAATCTTACTTTGAATATAGGACACATGTCGAATGGGATCATTCTGTGATACTTTTGTTTCTTTTTTAAAAAGCTTGATGTTGGTCGCTATTCACTGCCATTAATACGGATATTTTTTAATACGGATATTTTTTTTAAATTCACACTTTGAAAAAGAAAGAAGGGCATTAGAACAACACCAGGGTGGGTAAATGATGACTTATCGTATAGTTTAAAACATTATGACAATGTTTCCACAACTATAAAGAAATGTACTAGCTGAGGTGAGTAACAGCTAATGCTTGTTTTTGAACCTGGAAAGACAAATTTCAACACTAGAGTGGAAATATATCCTCCAAACAGGAGGTATCAAAAACTAAGAATGTCTGGTCTCCATTGTTTGGGATTGACACAATCTCCTGTGTTAATTCCACCGTTTCAACACTAACTTGACAAATCTTTCCTCTCGTCTTCTGGCCAGGTCTTATCATGATCGGGGTTATCATTGCATCCAGGAAGGTTGGCATCAACCCAGACAACGTGGCCACCCCTATTGCTGCCAGCCTTGGTGACCTGATCACCCTGGCCCTGTTGGCTGGCATCAGCACGGGCCTGTATAAGGAACTCGGTGAGTGAATAATGCCATAATCGGATATGTACAGTCAGTGCATTTTGTGATCCAAGTGCAGGCAGATTAGCCTGGTTAAAACCAGACCATTCTCTGAGTTATGGTCTGGCAAAGCGCCATAGACAAATCATTTCCAGAGGGGCGTCACCCATGGACGTCGCGGATAGGCCTAAGACCAATCAGAGCGATGAAGGAGATGTCGTATGCAGACTAGCGGTTGTTCTTTGCTCGGTTTTTAACAAAAAGGAAACGTTCAAACCGCTTAAAACAGACGCGATAGCTGATCCGAATTAGTGATGTTCGATGACGGCATCCATCTTTGTAATGTAGGCTACAAAATGATCTTCAAAATCTCAGCGCTGTCGTCATCGTGTAAAGCCCGCCCCAACGTTTCTGATTGGTGCCTCGATTTTGACGGATTAGAAATGGGCTTGAATGAGCTCTTTGTCAAATTAACTTTCAACTTTCAGACTAACTTTCCAGCGTGTTACTGATGAACCCTGTGCCCTAGAAACGTAATTCTCGTTTTCTCTGTTTTCTTGGACCAAGTCGAGTTCAATGGAGGTATATGGATCCATCTTGGCTGCTGAAAATAAACTAACTGAAGATAACATCAAAACTCATTATCATTATCTTTAATTAGCCACATTATGCCGCCTCCTTTGCTTTGCAGAGGAACTTCCACAGTCAGGGAGGAAATGGCATCTCAACACTTGCTTAGTGGTTTCAAAATAACTTATAAAAATGTTCAATAAAACCAGCATTTTTAATGAAATAATTCAATTTTACTGTATGGGAATCTGTATTGAAACCACAATAATATGGCTACTCTGACATTTTGCAGGTTAACAGCCATAAACCGACTTTAATTAAAGGGATAGTTCACTTTGAAATTAATTTTTGGTATGTTTTAGTTTACCTTAAGGGCATCCAAGATGTTGATATTTTTAGGTCCAACCGTTAGTGTCTGTCAGTCTTATAATGGAGGTCTATGGTCACCACCTTAAAGAGCATGCACAGAGAAGTCCAAATTAAACATGATTTAATGACTCATAAATGTAAGGACACATTGATGGCCTAAGACACGAAAACGAACAGTATTTATATATTTTTTACCTCTGTGCATGCTCTTTGAGGTGGTGACCATAGACCTGCATTATATGGCTGATATATGATTGCATTATATGACTGATAGATTCCCATTACTATTTTAAAAAAAGCCTTATCACTACTATCTGTCACCCAGCATTGCAGTGGCAGATTTCCTGTGCGTAGTTTAAAACCACAAGCTCTTGCTTCTCACCGGAAAATTTTTTGAAGAGGTGGTTTCAGGTTTATCTGTCACTTACGCATCTATGCCGAGGAAGTGAACTGTAGAATGCACATAAGCATTATATTTATATTTAGACTACTGTTTAAAAGTTTACGGTCAAGATTTTTTTAAAATGAAATTAAAGATGCATTAAATTGACTTAAGTGACAGTGAATTGAATGATTACAAAACAGTTTAATTAAAAAATGCTGTTTTTTTTTATCTTTTGATTCAAGAATTCTGAAAGTGTATCATGGTTTCCACAGTATTCGTAAATATTAACACTATTCATTACAAATGATTGCAAGTCAGCTAGTCACATGATCCTTCAGAAATCACAGGAATAAATAACATTGTAAAAATCTACTCGAATGGAAAACTTCTGATGAGGGCTATCATGTGATTTTTGTGTACTTTTTATTCTCCTGAGTAATATGTTTAAACAGTCATCGTGCTGAGTCAGGTTAGAGCGTAGCGGAGCTTGTTGGGCATGTTGGGGCTTGTGCTTCACCTGAAGGTGTCTTTATTCGCATTAGACTGCAGTCTCTCCCTTTAGACCCATAAAGCAACAACACTCTCACTCACTTTCTCATTTTAATTGCGAAGAAACGTCACAAGAATACATCTATTGTTAGTTCAGCTTTTTTGAGGCAACACCTTGGTGTTTTGATGATGTGTGGTGAACAGTAAGAATGTGCAAATGGAAACATTATGGTAAAGAATGATTGCATGTTTATGTCGTATCAAACCTCACAAGACCAAGCCGTCTGGATGTAAACATTTAAAACTGCCAAAGTAAAAATAGTAGGTCAACCAAGCGTTCATCTTATTCAACTTCTTCAGAATCTTGCTGCAACGTTACAACCAAAAGAATGTTGTGTTATTGTGATTTCTAAAGCAACTTTGGTTTTGAAACTGTCTGAGCTGGTGTTGAATTGCAAAGTCTTGCATTAAACATGTTGATCATGACAGTTCAATCTGAAGAATGTAGATATCTGTCTTTTATGACCATTATTTTATGATGGCTTCAACTTGAATCAACATAATAATAATGTTTTTTTTAGACATATTTTTAATTTATGAATAATCTTACATTTTTTTAATATATATATATATATATATATATATATATATATATATATATATATTAAGGCTGTCAAACGATTAATTGCGATTAATCGCATCCAAAATAAAAGTTTGTGTTTATGTGGGTGCACTGTGTATAATTATTTTGTATATATAAATACACACACATGCATGTATATTTAAGAAAAATGTAAAACATTTATATTTATATATATAATATAAATTATATATAAATCTATATACAGTATATACATGAAAATATTTCTTAAATATATACAAGCATGTGTGCTGTGTGTATTTATAAATATAAAATAATTATACACAGTGCACCCAAATATATTATGTAAACACAAACTTTTATTTTAGATGCGATTAATCGTTTGACAGCCCTATATATATATATATATAGTGCTGTCAAATCGATTAATCACGATTAATTTAATCTAAAATAAAAGTTTTTGTTTATATACTATATGTTTTTATATGTATTATTATATTTATATATAATTATATTTATATATTATTATATATACATTTATGTTAGATGCGATTAATAGCAATTAATCAATTTGAAAGCACTATATATATATATATATATATATATATATATATATATATATATATATATATATATATACATTATATACACTATATACACTATATATATATATATATATATATATATTATATTATATATACATTTTTTGTGTTATCGTTGTTCGCTATTTATTGTGATCGGGCTCTCAAAAATTATATAAAACTTTGGATTTAGATTTATCAGCCAACATATCAGTTATCAGCTTTCAAACATAAATAATTATATATATATATAATTATATTATATTTACTCATATTTATTACATTTATGAAAATGTATTCAATTTAGCTAACTTTAATTGTATTCCATTTTTTCTTCCAGAATTCAATGATTATGCCAACCCGATGGTTTGTGCCTTCTTCGTCGCCCTGACGCCCATCTGGGTGCTCATCGCCCGGCGGATACCTTCCACGCGAGAAGTGCTCTACTCCGGGTGGGAGCCTGTCATTATCGCCATGGCTATCAGCAGGTAGGAAAACACTGATTGAGATAAAGATGCTCATTTCCTCATTCCTCTTTATGATGGATGACTCACTCACTTGCGGCTGACACCGATATGTCAATCATTTATCTGACACCGTTAGATTTATTCTCTTTGTGCTTTTGAAACAGTGTTGGAGGCCTGATTCTGGATAAGACGGTATCTAACCCCAACTTTGCTGGAATGGCGGTTTTCACGCCCGTCATCAACGGTAAGACTCCTTATCTGGTGTCAATGTTTCTGACCATTGTTGTTACTAGCCCTCACCGTCACACCATTGCTTATGTTGTTTGTTTTGACCCGCTGCAGGTGTGGGCGGCAATCTGGTGGCGGTACAAGCCAGTCGAATCTCCACTTACCTGCACATGAACGCCCTGCCCTTAACGGATCCAAACCCAACCCCCATAAAATGCCCTACTCCCTGTAGCTCGTTCCTTGGGTCAGGTGAGTCAAAGGAAATGGCACACTCATCAGACCGATTATTAGCAAAGACGTAATCAGTAAATATTGACAGAAGCGTATTTTTCATGCGAAGACTAGCTCAACTTTTACTCTCTCATCAGGTGTCAACTCCCGGTCTGCCAGAGTGCTTTTCTTCCTGGTCGCTCCTGGTCATCTGGTCTTCCTGTACACCATTAACTCAATGCAGGGTGGACACACCTCTCTCACATACGTCTTCATTGCATTTTACCTGGCCGCTGCTCTGCTCCAGGTATACCTGAGCATCTACTGTGTTCCTCATTAAAAGGAAGTTTGAGGTTTAAAAGGAATGTTATGTTGTGTTTTTTAGGTTTTCCGACGCACATTTAATCTATATTTACGATCCTTTAGCGGCTAACTACAACTCACTGGAAACCAAATATAACACTCCCGCTAAACATTTACTCTTTGAATTCTTGCACCCGGGAATAATACAAGTCGACGCCATTATGACTGAATGTTTGTTAAGTAGTATTTCCTACTAAAGCAAGGTGGTATTTGACTGGTCAAGGGTATCCATTGCAGACTTATGGGAGTGGCCTTGGACAGCAACATGCTCAGTGCATTATGGGTGTTAAAGTTTTCCTACCTATTTGGCAAAAGTGAAAACGACAGCCTTTTTTCTTTGTTTTATCTAGTCAGGTACACTGATTTAAAAAAAAAAAATTAACGTTTTTGCCTTTCTTCTGTATATACGGGCAAGTTTCATTGAAAGAAATGATGCTGTGCATGAATAACATTTACCTTATTTTAAAGGGATAGTTCACTTTGAAATAAATTTTTGGTATGTTTTAGCTTACCTCAAGGGCATCCAAGATGTAGGTGTCTTTGTTTCCGCAGTAGTTTCAATTTTCAGAATTTTAGGTCAAACCGTTCTTGTCTGTCAGTCATATAATGGAGGTCTATGGTCACCACCTCAAAGAGCATGCACAGAGAAGTCCAAATTAAACATGATTTAATGACTCGTAAATGTAAGTACACATTGATGGCCTAAGACACGAAATGATCGTTTTACCTCTTGTAACCATAGCAACATCTAAGTGATCTGAGGCCGCGGGTGCTTTGTGGCTGTGGTTACAAGAGGTAAAAACGATATAAACACTGTTCGTTTTCTCACACAAACCGCTTATTTCGTGTCTTAGGCCATCAATGTGTACTTGCATTTACGAGTCATTAAATCATGTTTAATCTGGACTTCTCTGTGCATGCTCTTTGAGGTGGTGACCATAGACCTCCATTATATGACTGACAGACAAGAACGGTTTGACCTAAAAATATCAAAATTGAAACTACTGCGGAAACAAAGACACCTACATCTTGGATGCCCTTGAGGTAAGCTAAAACATACCAAAAAATTAATTTCAAAGTGAACTATCCCTTTAAGATTTTTACAATGTTTGTGCATTGTGACATTAAATTCTATTCTATTACAATAATACAAAACAAATACAATAATAATCAAAAGGATGGGGTCACTGTTAAGAAATGAATACTTTTATTCAGCAAGGACGCATTAAAGTGATCAAAAGTGATAGTGAAGACATTTACAGTTTTTCATAAAAATTCTATTTTGAATAAAAGCTGTTCTTTGGAACTTTCTATTCATCAAAGAATCCTGAATAAAATAAGCAGCAAATTAGAATGATTTCTGAAGAATCATGTGACACTGTGATTCAAAGCTGAACTCTCAGCATCAGTTAAAAGTGTGTTTTATGCAAAATAATAGAAATAATATCAACCTTCAAATGTTCTGCATTTCCCTGGTGATTTCCATCATGCCACACTGACACATTCTGTCTTTCCGTGTAGGTTGTGATCCTGCTGTACCTTGCAGACTGGATGGTTAACTGGATGTGGAGTCGAGGGATGGATCCCGACAACTTCTCCATTCCCTACTTGACCGCCCTGGGAGACCTGCTGGGGACGGGCTTCCTGGCTCTGTGTTTCCACATCCTGTGGCTAATTGGAGATCGGGACACAGATGTGGGTGATTGATCCATGCTGCTTCCTTTGACTCTGTCCAAGCAACACAAATGTCTTTATTTATAATGCCACATAGAGAAATAATATCTATATTGTTATGGCTACTATGTCTACCATGATTATATTGATGACATTATTGCTTTAGTATTGATTTGTAATTTCGTTGTTGTTTAGCTACTGGGAGAACAGCAATCCTCATTATTTTTCAATGGGGATGTTCGGCCCAATTTTACGGCCAGTCGCGTTGGCTGCATGTAAAGATGACATCGACCTAAACTTGAAATATTTCACGAGAGGCAAATGAACATAGAATGCTTAATCACCAAGTGCTACAAAATGGAATAGTTATAAAAAATGAGTTTTAAGGGGAAGACAAAAAAAAACATATTTTGGACCATCACAGAATGACATGAATATCTATTCCGGGCTAGAGATTGAAAGGGTTACCTGGGTCTTAATAGAGGAGACTGAATCTCAAAGGGGACCTTATTTACGCTAAAACACATTTGAAGAATTTTTTGCACATCTCAGCATTTCCATCCATCCAGCTTTCTTTCTTTTTTTTTTATCTTTATGCAGTATCCCAAAATTCACATAAAAGTTGGTGGAAACATAGACAAGCTTACATAACATCTACAGAAATTAGACTTAATTTTTAAAGTGTTCAAAATGAATTGGAAATTATTTGTATGTAGCTGAAAGGAAATATGCATTTGCAAAGCATTTTATCTGCCCTTTTCCTTTAAAAAAAAGAAGGTAAAATTACCCAGTAATGTGATTTTTAAAATGCAAAGTCTTAAACTGGAGGCGAGAAAGACTCATCATAGTCAACTAAAAAAATACAATGTTTTAACACAAAGCTCTAAGGGTCAATTGATGAATAAGGAAAAGCACCTGCTCATTGGCAAAAAACATGAAACGCTTTACAATACGATCGAACAATTGCTGTATAATTATGCAAAAACACTTTAAAGGGCTATTTTGACACATACAATGCTGTACCACTGCATGCCAGCTGAAGAAGTGCTTTTGTAACCGGTTCCCGAATGTGATTTTGAAGTAATGCTTTATTAAAATCCCTGGAAGAGGAGATTATTTCATTTCGAATGTTTTTTTGTGAGATTAATGCCACTCAGAAACACTTGAAAGGCTAATAGGATGGCTAGCAGCTAAACTGTACCTCGTTTCTCGGCCATTAAAGTCTCTAATCAGTAGTTTCCAGTAGGCTAATGTATACTTTAATAACTAGCCAGGCCTTATAAAGCAACTGACCGCGTTATCGACAATGTGTTTAACTGAAATGTTAGCCTCCCATCGCTAAAGGGCTGTGTGGAAACATCGCTCCATTTGCTGCTAAATCTCACCAGTTCGCGCACATCGTCAGCAAAATGGATTGGGACGACGACGTCGTAACATTAAAAAATACGTTGTTAGTAACGATATCTTGAACGTGTCCGTTTTTGTTTTAACTGTAACTTGTCAGTTTGTGTCACAAATGTCTGTTTTTAACTTCGCAAGGGCGAATTATAGTGTTTTAATAGATCACTGTGCACAAGATGTACTGTAATGTCATAAGTTACCACAAGAGGTCGCGCTTGTGCAGGGAGAGCATGCAGCTGCAAAACGTGTCACGTGTTTATAATACCACAATTCAAACATCACAAACATTTTTGTGCGACTGATCCGGTGCTGCCATTGTACCATGACAGCTCTCTATAGTTGTGAATATTTCTTCAGGGGACGGGAGGCTTTGTTTATTTATTTCTATAGATGTGACAAAGCTATTTGTAAATAATATATTTATTCTATAAATGTTTATTTTTCATTTTGTTGCATTTTTTCTTTGCATTGGACCAGTAGAGATGTTTACTGTAAATTTTATCAGTAATTTTTTTTTTTTTTTGGTAAACTTTAACAAATATATCAAAGTTTGGTGCCTAATATCCAGCAAAACCTCACACTCGATCTGGTTCGGTGATTGAGCGTAAATGCCTTAACAAATCACAAGCAAGGCTCAACACGTAGGTTTTATAGGTCTTCTGATTTGTTTGTTATTTTGTATATGAGCTTTTTTAATTCATGTTACATTTTCATAATGTATTCATTTGATTTGTGTACACAAATCATCCCATCCGTTTGTGTTCTTCCAGGGCAGATGTATTGGTGGTCACTCATCCAAAGCAAAGCCATGAGATTTCGTGAATTAATATTTGCTTGAGGGTTGTCTAATCTGTCACATGTACTATTCCCTCTCTTATTGACCTAATATAGCTTTCTACAAGAAAACATAACCTTCCCTGAGTTAAACTAAGCTTGAGAGTCAGATCCCAGCCCCTTCAAGCAAGACCATTGCAAACTTACCAGGTTATCCAAGAGTGTACTATTAATGGTAACTGGTTTTCCCAATCCTATGATTTCTTCCCCATCAGTCAAGTGGACTTAATAGAGGTACTTGTAAATTGCTGGAAATAAAAGATTATATTATTTCGTACGACTGCCCTGTGCTTTTCTGTCTTCGTGCCATTTCGGGGCCCTGCCCCATGCATAGTTTTGAACAGTAGTGTCAATTTGATTTGGTGCTCAAAAACATTTTTTACGGATGATAAATGTCTGATAGAAATGTCCCAGTTGACGTCTAATCCAGTGACCTTGCATTTGTCACTTTCTGCCGTGAATCACAATGTTGCTCCTCTTCTATCAGAGTTTCCTGAGACAATGTTCCCTCCTTATCAAACATAACACAGAGGAAGACAAACCCTCCATCGCATAACTCAGCAGATCTGGCTCCAGCATGAGAGCGGCTCAGTGGGATTGGCATAGGAATAATAGGGATTGACACGGATAAGAGGGGACAGGCTATAGAACGAGGCCAAGGCTTGTCTGGATGGAGGAGGAAGCTTCAAGAGCTTTCTAGAAAATGATTTCAGGAGTCTAAATGCTTTTGTAGTTTAAGATTGAAATGTTGTTTGAGAGATTGGTTCAGAACACAATGTGCCTGACACACTCGGAGACAAACTCACACACTGAGGCTCTTTGTAATCTGGCCTTCACAACACAAAACAAAAGATCTATACAGTAGCAGGAATATACATATTCTTATTTCTATTAAATGACCAAGAAGCATTTAAGTACCTCTTAAAAGTCATTGCGTTAGATAATAAAATATCAAACCAGGTCGCATGTTTTTTACTTTCTAATTAAGAACTGGTCAAATCTGTGTGAAGCTCTCATGAGCTTGTTCCATAACGAGCAGCGGGTAATGACATCATGTGACAGTCAGATATCACTGACACAAAAAAATTGTTCTCTTTAAAAAAAGTTGCATTTTTTTATTTGATCAAATTTAACTGATATTATTTCGTAGCATAAATATAATTGTTCAAAATTGTTTTATAAGAGGGTCATATGAGAGCATAATGTTTCTTACACAGATTAAGTGCTTTGCAGAGAAAGTACAGTAACACACAACTCAAAAGCGTCTTATAATGGCCTATTCATGTCGTGCACGTAACAATGGTAAACGCTTGGAAAGATTTCAGGAGACTGTGAAATATGTGTTTGAAGAAGAATAGGTTAAAGTCGGCATGAATCAGAGTTTGCCATAGTCTTTTCTTCCATATTGTGCCGTATATCCGATTTAACCGCCTTCAACAACAAAAAATGTAGGGCGGGACTTCTTTTGGCCCATTGGGAATTGATTGGATGGTTGTAGTTTGCTATTGGTGACCGGTTGCTCCGTCCTCGCTCCAGTGAACACATCATCAGAGAAGAGAAGAGACGTCACTGAAAGAGGGAGGGGAAGTTATATTGATGAAAGATTACAAGAACACATACATGAAAAAAATGAAGTGCTGAGATAAATAATTTACAATAAACATTGCAATATTCCATAAAACTTCATTTATGATTTCAGGGTGACACTTTCCACAAATAGGGTACAAAATGGGACTAGAAACTTTTAAATTCAATTTAATTATTATTAAATAAGTGGAAGAAGGTGATAAAATTGTGTTTGTCCACTTTAAGAGGTCAAACTAAATGTTTCTTTTATTATTTTATTTTATGACATTTGATATGACGCGTAACAACCCTGTTACCACGATTTGAAAACACACGAATATAGTTTAAAAATGATAAATGATGTAATAAAAAATTTGTACCCTGATAGAAAGTGTCCTCCTAGGCGGGACATCTGTGAGCTCTCAGCAGGACATCAGAAGGGGGTTGGACGTGTTTGGGTGACCTGAGGTCATAGAAGGTCGTGACCCGCTGCAGACCTCCCCCTCTCCTCCATCCAGGAGCTCACTGGAGAGGAGCTGCTGGCAGAGTGTGTCCACGACCTGGAACACTGGAGTGCAGTCTGAAGGACAAGATGGGAGTTAATCCAGCGGGTTTGGATAAAAGAAAGAAACTGAAACACTAGGCAGAGCTTACCGTGACTTTTTCTGCTACACAGATCTAGTGTGTTGATCAGTATTTTCCCCAAAATCCGCCGAGAGACTCTCTATCAGGGGTCAGAATATAAAAGTTTTCATTACGTAACTTAATCGCTAGGTGGCAGTGTGGACTAATCAATGCTACTCTACTGTGCAATTTAGCACTGGCTATTCAGAAGGGGATTTTTGCAGTATATAGCATGCATACAGTCTAGCATTTTCTTTATGCATAGAATAAAGAGCACTACATTTGACAAAATGTAAACAAAGTGCACTGAAAGGAACAATATATCACACAGTGCAATGTGCATGACTTGACTATCACTGTAAAGCTGTTTTGAAACAATCTGTATTGTTTAAAGCGCTTTATATAGATACAGGTGACTCTACCTGACCTTCCATTTCCGGTTTGATGAATGAACAGTAAGTAATATTAACCAGGTCTCAACTTAATTTTTAAGTGTCTAAGGTTGCGTCCGAAATCGGACATCGGGCCCCATTTCCAAGTGAGCCTTAGTGTTATTTATCAGTGGAGACACTTTTAAAAAATGTTCATCCAGTCGTTCCAGTTGCATAGTTCGCCGGTGCTAGGCTAAAGGTAACTGCTAGCCTGCCATTGATAGCAGTTTTACCCACTCCACAGTTCACCCAAAGCAAATCAATTATAACGCCAGACTATCGATGTAAATTTCTGTTGAGAAAATAATCTTAAAAATCAAACTACCCTTCCATTACATTGCAATATATACTTTGTCCCCTGTATTTATTAGCACAGTCTACTACAGGAGCGGCGGAGGGATATGTAGTTACGTGCGCTTCGGTTCTGTGTTTACTTTTCGGCGCAGGAGCAAAGTAAAATTCCGCCGCTGCTGAGAAACTAGTTCCTGTAAATGTATTGCTTTCATAAAGTAGTTTGATTTTTAACATTATTCTCTTAACAGAAATTTACATCGATGGTCTGGCGTTATAATTGATTTGCTTTTGGTGAACTATGCTCGCCTTGCTCTGTTCTGTGACGCACGTTTGTGACTATCCTGTTTGAACTCGTTCATCAAAATGAACAAATCTTTTTTCGTGTCATTTGGTTCATTCGACGAACGAAATGAACGAACTGACTCGGGAAAAGTTCGAACAGGAGAGTCACTCACGAACCGCATCACAGAACAGAGCAAGGCGACCATTTGTGCTTATAAAACTTGTTTTGTTTTGTTTTTTAAATGAGCGATCGTTTCGCTTGATAAGACCCTTATTCATTGTCTGGGATCGTTTAAAGCCATTTGAACAGTTTGCAGTTTGCACTGAAAGTGTCTTTTGGACCTTGGAACCGTTTGGTTACCAGTAAAGTGCATTATATGGAGAAAAATCCTGGAATGTTTTCATCAAAAACCTTAATTTCTTTTCGACTAAAGAAAGAAAGACATGGACATCTTGGATGACATGGGGGTGAGTAAATGTTCACCAAAAGTTTTTTTTAAAAGTGAACTACTCTTTAATGTCCTAAATGACCTGGCTTAATCTAAGCCCTTTCAGTGAAACCAGGCCCTATCATTGAATCTAATTCTCACTTTATGTGGAATCTGCAGCAGTAAAGTGAGCGCATCAGTCAGTCTCTCCTCCAGCAGTGAAGTATGAACTCTCAAGCTGTCCGCCTCTTTCTGCTTCATCTGCGGGCCGTGACAGAGAAGGCAAGGGTTCATTTAATTAGAGAAGATGTGGTGGATTACAATTCTGCAAACACATGATCATAGTTTCTGCTTCAACTCTCACCTCCACTGCTTCATTTCCCCTCTCCCCCGCTTGAGGAACCCACACACATCCTTTAGTTTCTTTGCTGCGAGTGGAGCTCTGAGAGACAAGCCAGTGACAGATAGCAGCTTTCTGACACCTGTAGACGGAGAATATGTCCGATTAATGCATACGTGCATGTGTTGTGGCCAAAAAGCACAGAAAGGAAATCCTAGGCTTGTTTTGTTTGATATTTAGGCTCTCTTTACCCTTTAGCACAGCTGTGTAATCTGTTAATCAACCGTTTGACCTCCAGGTGGCAGCACTGTCCTTCATCCATGCCTCTCTCCTCCTCTTCCTCATCTGATGCTGCCCGACCCTCAACTGACCTCTGCAGGCCATCTTCTGCACAGAGACATCACATGACCACTACTGCCTTTAAACAGATAGTTCACCCCAAAAAATAATTTTTGAATGACAGAATTTAAACTATCCCTTAAATGATCTAATACAATTATTTTTGCATTTGTTTCCAAGATGATAGTGATGTAAACATGCAAGTGATGTCACATCGCAACAATGAATGTATGATGCATTTTTTTTAAACACTACACAGTGTGCTAGTATCCCAATCTGAACATAGCCACAGATATTGAGTTGCATGCCTAAGTTAACAAAGAAAATGTCATTTTTTAAGATCTGAATGAGAAATTGACTTGTTTATGACTGGTTTTTGACCTCCTTACCTCTTCTGATGAGGGCATCATCATGGAAGGAGGGAAATCCAGACCTACACGGTTCAACTTGTGTTTCGGTTCTGTTCATGTTCAGCTCTGTGCACGTGCACTGGGCCCTGAGAACAAGTCATAAAGCACTGTAAACATGATCAAATAACCATCTGTGCAGGTGAGTCAAGATCTTTGGAATCAAAATGTTGAAGATCACATGACTGAAAGAGTTTCTTGTGCTGTAGATGCATGTGCAGACCGTGTGGATTTTCTGTTGAGGAACCTGGCAGGTTTCGACCTGCTTTTCCAGGTGAGGAATGAGCATTACATCACCGCTGTGTGATGCAAATAATGAAATATTAACCCAGATATTAATCTGCAAAGAGTCTACTGAAAGCCAGCCATCTACTTGATTGATTGCAAGGTTAATGTGAGCTAAAGTTTTTTGGCCATGCATGCTGGAAATGGTTCTTAGAATATATTAGTTGATTATACTGAAGCTTCCTACAGTTGTTAGCACTAGTTTTTGGTTTGTAATTCATACTCAATTGCAGACAGAGACCGAGGAGAATTCAGGAAACCTGTGTAAAAACTACCATTAATAGTTTTTTTTTTTTATTATTTTATTCTGTTGGTGACACTTTTGGCACTGAAAGTACAAGGTCTTGAAATTAAAAAAATGACAAATTTATCATTTTGTTTAAATTTTTTCTTATAGTTTACTTTTTATACCTTTTTATTTAGCATATTATACTTATATTTTTGTAATACGTGTAATACGATATATTTAAAATGTTTTTAGAAATCATATAAATTAGATTAAATTAATTAGTTTTTTTTTTTCACTGTTATATTTCTTATGGTTATTATCAACTAAATTTATTTTTGGAATTGAACTAAAGTTTGTGCATTAAGTTCATTTAATATGAAAACCCAACGCACAAAAAAAAAGTCTTTGTCTTTTAAAAAGTCGTTTTATAAAAATGTTTTTTCAACATATTTATCATTTTTAGCTTGTAGAAGTGTACATTAACATATACTAATAGATGTGGACTTAAAGCCACACAATACTTCATATAAAATTTCTCTGTACTTTACAGCTTTCCTCAGATCTTTGCATTATGTTAATAGATGCAAGAGACAAATGAGACAGCACTGTAAAAATCACTGACCATAGACCTGTCTTTGATCTCTGTCTGTCCAACATACCTGCTTAAACGCGTGTCTGGACGCAGGGCTACCTTATATCCTTCCCCACAGGATATACTAAGATATGTAGAGTTAGATGCTGTAATAGCAGCTTTGAGTGACTTGCTGTAATACTCACACTTGAAAGCAAATGACTAATAAGTGTTTTCAGGAAACTGTGCCATCCTGTGTTATTAAGGCAAGTCATTAACATCTGTCAAGGGAAAATCAAGCATGCCTGCGACATGCCCTCAATGCTACTCCTTAATAATCCATCTGTGTCATAACCAACCCCGGTTCCTTGACTCACCAACACCAACTCAAGCCAGAATCCACTCTGGAGCATCAGTGCAGGTACTGTACACTCTCAGAAAAAAAGGTACAAAAGCTGTCACTGGGGCTGTACCTTTTCAAAAGGTAAACTTGTGTCCATTCTAGGTGCTAATATGTACATTTTAAGTGCTAATATGTACATTTTAGGTGCCAATAAGTACATTTTAGGTACTGATATGTACATTTCAGGTGCTAATATGTACATTTCAGGTGCTAATATGGACATTTTATGTGCTAATATGTACATTTCAGGTGCTAATATGTACATTTTAGGTGCCAATAAGTACATTTTAGGTACTGATATGTACATTTCAGGTGCTATTATGTACATTTTAGGTGCTAATATGTGCATTTTAGGTGCTAGTATGTGCATTTTAGGTGCTAATATGTACATTTTTAGTGTTAATATGTACATTTTAGGAGCTAATATGTCTATTTTAGGTCCTAATATGTATATTTTAGGTGCTAATATGTACATTTTAGGTACTAATATGTATATTTTAGGTGCTAATATGTACATTTTAGGTATTAATATGTATATTTTAGGTGCTAATATGTACATTTTAAGTGTTAATATGTACATTTTAGGTGCTAATATGTACCACTAAGGTACCAATATGCAGCCTTTGGGTACAAAAGTGTACCTTTTCAAAAGGTACAGCCCCAGTGACAGCTTTTGTACCTTTTTTTGTGAGAGTGTACAAATCTTCCAGTTATGCAAGATTTAGTGTTGATGTTGATTATGGTTTCTTGTCTGGGAACGCCTTTGTGGTCTGCTCTGGGTCTTAGAAAAGTATTTCTGTCACGACACCTGTGTTTGGCACAGTAATGGGTGTGACAGTTTTGATATGTTTGGTCTTGGCGGAATAGATCTGCTACACTGCTGCTTGCACGGGACTTGCTACTGCCAATACATGAACAAGACATGCTTCTGCTGTACAATGAATTACCCGTGGCCAGTGTTGTGTCTAAAGGTGTTCATTGAACGATTGTTTATCAACTCTTTCATGAACATGAACTGAACGTACTGTATTACTGCCTGATGAACGTTACTGTGAACTCATTCATTCTGGTCTGTGAACACTCGCTCTTTCAGTTTAACTTAATATGTAGCCCAAAACGAATCTTTTTCTGAGTCAATTTGGTGCATTTCGTTCGTTGAATAAACCAAATGACATGAAAAAAGATTTGTTTATTTTGATGAACGAGTTCGAACAGGAGAGTCACGTACGCGCATCACAGAACAGAGCAAGGCGAGCATTTGAGCTTATAAAACTTAAACTTTGTTATTTATTTATTATATGAGCGATCGTTTCGCTTGATAAGACCCTTATTCATCGTCTGAAATCGTTAAAAGCGCAGTTTGCATTGAAACTGTCTTTTGGACCTTGAACCGTTTGGTTACCAGTAAAGTGCATTATATGGAGAAAAATCCTGGAATGTTTTCATCAAAAACCTTCATTTCTTATCAATTGAAGAAAGAATGACATCTTGGATGAGTAAATTATCTGCAAAAGTTTTTTTAAAAGTGAACTATTCCTTGGACCAGCCTACGATAGAGTTTAGTGACAGAACTTTATATGCTTGCAACTCGGTCTTGAAGAGAACTGGTTCAGAATAATCTTATAATTTTGATACATTTAATCAATTTTACTCTATTGATAATTCCAATATGAATTCCAATATGAACAGAAATATTAAGCAAAATCATTTTATGAAAAAATTAAATGTCTTTTCAAACCTGTATGCATTTATATCTTCTGTGGAACACAAAAGAAGATATTTTGAAAGGTTTTTTTTTTTTTTTTTTTTTTTTTTAAATCAATACAATGAAAGTCAAATGGATTCCAGTGTTATTTTGGACCCCACTGACTTTTATGGACATAAAATGAATTTTCATTCTTGGGTGAACTACAGTATACCTTAAATAATTCTCAGACAGTACCGTTCGAAATATTTGAAAATATTTTGAATACATTCATATTCATTATGGCTGCAATATTGGATTATATACACTGTAAAAAAAACTGTAATATTATGAAAGACTATTATTATTAAAAAAAAATTATTTAATTTATTTCTGTGATGCAAAGCTGAATTTTCAGCAGCATTACTCCAGTCTTCAGCGTCACATGATCCTTCAGAACTCATTTCATTCTAATATGCTGATTTGCTGCTCAAAAAACATTTCCGATTGTTATCATTGTTGAAAATAGTTGTGCTGCTTAATAAGTTTGTGGAAACCGTGATTCTTTGTTTTCAGGATTCTATAATGAACAGCATTAGCAGTTATAAATGTCTTTACTGTCACTTTTGCTCAATTGAATGCATCCTTGCTGAATAAAAGTATTAAATTATTTAAAAGAAATGACTGACTCCAAACTTTTGAACTATTGTAGCATTTGATGAATAAAAGTGAGAAGTACCTGAACTTCTCCAGCTGGTTCTCCAGACTCTGGACTCGTTCTCGGAGCAGGTCAGCTCGTTTGGCCTGGTCTTGTAAAGCTTTCACACCCTCCAGCCCTGCGGCCAGTGACCCTCTGACCTCTTCTGTCCTCTTCTTAATCCGTGCGTTCTCAGTCCTGATGGTGTCCACGGTCTCCTGCATCCTGCTGAGCTCTCCATAAGCTGCCATCAGCTCTTCCTCTAACCTCTGGTTAAACCTCATGGCTTCCTCCAGCTGTCCATCACGCGAAGCACGGATCAGCTCCAGCTCTCGCAGGAGGTCTTTAGTGCTTCTTCGGGTGTCCCATTCCATGTGTTTGGACTGACGTGATTTTGCTTTGCCCCCAGCGCTGCAGTCTTGTCTCTCCGGGGTTCCACCAGCAGTGCGTTGGGGCGGCACGTCTTTCCGGCGTAACGCCACCTCCAGTGCCATGCACCGCGCGTCGCTGCTCTGCAGGGCTGAACGCAAGTCCTCCACCAGCTCCCTCAGACTGGCGTTCTCCAACTCTAGCTGGTCCTGCCATCTCCTCTGAGGGGTAACATCCACTGCAATGCATATAGTACAAATACATCTTCAGTTCTGACCAAATGTATCATTTGAAAACACATAAGGTAGCTATAAGGTTTTTCTTAATAAATGTGATACAATAAAAATCAAATATTGTTATTAGATGTGTAAAATCATATACATGATGCCTTTAATTTTATTTCAAATATTTTAATTTTATTTTATGTTACTATTATTAAACCTATCAATAAAAAAAATACTCGTTTCTTTAAATAAAAATAGTCAGGTTCTCTGAGTTACAGTAATAGCAGACACTGCAATAATTAAAAAATTAGACCTTCAGTAAAATTACTACATTTTCTTTTTGCTTTGAAATTAATTCAGAGAAAGTAAACATTATTTATTAATCAGTGCAAATTCAAGTTAATAAATAAATGTTAAATATAATATTTATTGGTATATTATTATACATTTTCTGCTTGTTTGTAAAGCATTTTCAGATTTAATCCTTTATGAAGGGTGTTCACCAAGGCTGCATCATCTATTGAATAAAAAATAGATAAAATAAGTAAACAGTAATATTGTGTGTAAATAATTTATTCCTGTGGTCCAAAGCTGTTTTTCAGCATGATTATTGCAGTCTTCAGTGTCACATGATCCGATATGCTGATTTGCTGCTCAAGAAACATTTCTTAGTATTATCAATACTGAAAACAGCTGATTAATATTTTTGTGGAAGAAGTAATACGTTTGTTTATATAACATTACATTTAACATGTAATTAACATCCAATTTCTGGAAGGCACAGACATTACACTCCTTAACCTCCCGTAAATAAATCTTCATTAATTAATAAGACTAAAAATGTCCCCTAAGGCTTGAGTTTTTGGATGGAAAAATGAGTGTGTGTGTGTGTGTGTGTGTGTGTGTGTGTGTAAGTAAGTTGTACCTGCGGTTTTGGTGGATTCCACAGCAGAAGTCTGTGAATGATTCAGATTCTGAGAGTGTCCTGGTCTTCTCACTGACCTCTTTCGGTTCTGATGATCGGTAGACAGATCAAAACTGACGCACTTTCTCCTCCGGACACGGGGACACCGGAGTCGGATCTCGCGCTCGATGTGTTCGGTCTCCTCACTGACCGGGAGTCGAGCTCCAATCTGTCTTTCCTGAGCTTTAAGCGAGAAAAATCCACATAGTCGCGCGTGGAATTCTTTAAAGTTAAGCACACGAGGAAGTTGTTCTGAGGTGCCATTCTCAGTCCCTGCGCTCGCGGGAATCCCCAAAATCAAACACAGACTCCTGAAGTCCTCATCCGAGACGAGATCATCACCGTTGTAAAAGGCCAGGTGATGAAACACCTCCTGGAGATACTGGTCCACGCCGGTTGCCAAAACCACGATCTCGTTTTCCACGCAGTGATCTGGATTGAAGTGGTGCGCGAGAGCGCATCTGAGCCACTCGCTTTTACGCGCCGCGCGGACACGCGAAACCTGCATGACTGAAGACATCCAATGATCCACAAAACACCCGGGTTTCTACATGTCCACCTTCCTCAGACAACAGATGTGTATATGTAACACGTGCTCTAAACTTACAAGATGTGAGTATAAAAGGCAACGCTTTACATTACAGTGCCAACGTTTCCCCTAAACATGACTAAGACTAACTGAATCTAAAATTCATGGTTGACTTCAAATGCTTTCCTCAACCTCTTCCTTCAGGGTTTGTGGTTGTGTGCATCTTCAAAAGACCCACTCCACCCTTTGGGTTGACAGAGGAGTGTGTGTGTGTGTGTGTGTGTGGTGTTTCCATGGCACGTGAAAGCTTTCAGATCCGTCCAATCATAGCTCACTTCAGACTGAGGATTTTTTTTTTTTTTTTTTTGGACCACGACCAAGTAAGTGATCTTCTCTGGAGCTTGAAGACACTTCATACAGGTAAACGTGGACTCTTTTAAATGGAAGTTTTATTGAAGTTTATAGAGATCACTTTGAGGGACTTTAGAAGTATGACTCACTCACTTACAAAAGACTGAAATGAAACGGGTAACACCCATATAGGTGTAGAAGCTTTTACGCTTTTTTAATTCCAAATGAATAAAATAAGGACAATACAAATATTGTGTGTGCACATGTGTGCATCTATCTATCTATCTATCTATCTATCTATCTATCTATCTATCTATCTATCTATCTATCTATCTATCTATCTGTCTGTCTGTCTGTCTGTTTATCTATCTATCTATCTGTCTGTCTGTCTGTCTGTCTGTCTATCTATCTATCTGTCTGTCTGTCTATCTATCTGTCTGTCTGTCTGTCTGTCTGTCTGTTTATCTATCTATCTATCTGTCTGTCTGTCTGTCTGTCTATCTATCTATCTGTCTGTCTGTATCTATCTATCTATCTATCTATCTATCTATCTATCTATCTATCTATCTATCTATCTATCTATCTATCTATCTATCTATCTATCTAGACAGATATGTCTACTACATATCAATATATCACAATGCTTATCTATGCAAAGAGTTAGTCAGAAGATGGCCTCCAGCTTTAGTCACAAGCCTTTGTTTCTTGACTGGAACTTACAGTAGGTTGACTTCCCGTAACTAAAGACCCTTGAAGACACTTGATACAAAAGTCCTCTGTTAGTGTCTCTCAGATATATACCACTCCGGAAATAACTGTCCTCACCTTAATAGCCTAGTTCATGACAAATAATGTCATCCCACAGGAAATACTCCCGCAATTACACTAGTAGCTCATTCCGTCATGTGTCATGTTGTATTTTTTTCTGTATGGTGACTCAGAGAATAAAGTGCTTTTGTTGAAAGGTGAGTGCAAACTCTAAGGTAGCGTCATTGTTTTAGGTGGTTTTTTATTTTTGTATTTTCTGTAAGGTTATTCACCAGTGGATCGCTGTCTTACTTTTGTTGTTATGTCTTAAATCTGCTTGAATCATGTTATATCTTTTTGTACAGCGCCAGATTGTCTATCTAGATGTGAGATATCATGGTTTCTGTCGGGTCTTGATGAGACAAGTCAAGGCTCCAGAGCTATTTTAAAGCAGACATCATTTTGTCAGCCATTGATCAGGCTTGTTTGTTTTCATCCTAAAATGGTCCATCAATCCCATTCAATTCTTAAGTGAGAAATTCGCATTGTCGGGTGCTAATGTGACAGTGAAGTGTTTTACATGTGTGTTCAATGCAGAAGTTGCTGCCTCAATCATGAGCGGTTGCTAGGGTGTTTTGAGGGATTTTTTTTTAATGTCTGGCTTATCAAACACCATCAACAAATATTGTATTATACATTATTTATCCACTATCCATATACAAATGTATACAACTTTCAATTCTTGATTCTGATTGGTCAATAGCTGTACTTTATTCATGATAAAACACGGTTGTGACCGCTTCATCACTGCGCAAAACTGTGTATGTTGTGTTTATTTGAGCTTTCATGCATATTACACTTTGGAACGTTGTTGCTGTTCACGGTCAGGGACTATTTTTTTTTCCAGCGGAAGGAAGGCTTTTAGTGATTTTACTTCATGAAAGTTCCACTAATACATTTTTTTTAACTGTAATAGTTTTATTGTGTGGTAACCGTTTTATAAAAGCAATAAGATACTCGAGGCAAGGTCTGTATCGTGAATAAGTAACAGCTGAAGGGGTTACAGGCACGACGCGAATACAGCACAGCCTCATTTACGTAATGATGTTATTTATGATTTTATTCATTGCCATAGTGTTTTGAAGTTTTTTATATTTGCATCATCATGAGTAGCAATGATAATATTGTAATAATATTAATATGATTTATCCCCTATCTATAATTATAGTATATGATTAAGAGCAGTGCTTGGGGAAAATTGTATATTTTCCATAATTAAACGATTAATGATTAAAAAACAATAAATGATCCATTATCCATAACATTTATTATTTAATTATCCATAATATATATATATATATATATATATATATATAAAAATATATGTTTTTTATATGTTTTATTATATATGTTAATAATATTTAATGAATGAATTAAAGGGATAGTTCACCCAAAAAGAAAATTCTGTCAGTATTTACTCACCCTCACGCAATCCCGTAAGACATTTTACTTCTCTTTGGGCCTCTAGTATGTTAACATAGTGATTGCGTATATCTACGTCACGCGTAGGCTCACTATTGGCCGACGCTGGTCATGTGTGTTCAGAGTTTTGCGTCACTGCGCGTGACGTACAACAACAGATCATACGCTGTTAAATAGTAACCTGACTCGAGGCCCATAGAGAAGGAAATGAATAGTTGAATAAAGTCGTTATTTTTGCTTGTTTTTGCGCACAAAAAAATCTTGTCGTTTGATAAAGTTAAGATTGAGCCACTTTAGTCACTTGGACAATTTTAACGATGTCTTTAATAAATTTTCGAGACCGGCAAGTTTCAATTCCTCAAGAAGCCTCCGGACTAGTATGGAGAACTGATCCAGCTCTCAGATTTCATCAAAAATATCTTAATTTGTGTTCCGAAGATGAACGAAAGTCTTACAGGGTTGAAACAACATGAAGGTGAGTAAATACTGGCAGAATTTTCATTTTTGGGTGAACTATCCCTTAATGATCCATTGACCATGACAGAACCACTAATTATGATATTGGTTTTCAAGAATAGTCATTGACCTCTTACCTAGACCTAATTGTTTTGAAAAATTAACTTTGCTCTTTGGAATTTTCTGCTCAAGTGTAAACCAAAGAAGAAATCCCCAGTTTCTTCAGCCCACAATCTGAAGAACAGCAAACATCCAAGTTAAAGATTATCCAGAAACCTGTTCACCTGCTTAAAGGGATACTCCACCAAAAAATTAAGATATTTTGAAGAACGATTGGAACGAAACAGTTGTTTGGCACCATTGACTTCCATAGCAGAAAAAAAATACTATGGAAGTCAATGAAGCCAAAGTTCCAAACGTTCTTTAAAACGTCTTTTTCAGCAGAAGAAAGAAACTCATACAGGGTTGCAACTACATTAGGGTGAGTAAATCATGACAGCATTTTCATTTTTGGGTGGAGTATCCCTTTAAGGTCAACAGGTAAAACATCAATATCACAAATCTGTTCATAGTTTTCCTCTAGTCTAGTGTTTGGAAATAGATTTGAGGAAACATTTAGTTGCCACACTTTATATTGAAAGAAATTGCCAGGATAAGCAAAGCACAATCTAAACAAAACAGTCTCAAAAGCCAGACTGAATGAGTGATGAGAGTGCTTTAATAACCAGGGCTCAAGAGACACTCTCACATTTTATACTCTCAATAGGCTTCCTAATGGTGCATGAAATCGGTGTCATTTCATCTGACAGATTATTCTCTGTAATCTTTTTTCAAATTACTCTGATTTTCAGAGCCAAATGGGATTGTAATGCTGTGCGTGGAAAATGAAACCCCCTCGGATCAATAGAGAATCACATTGAGCCATTCACGTCCGAACCGGCAGCTGCTCTTCTAAAGCTTGTTTACTTTGGTTCAATGGAGCTTATTTGAAACTGAAAGCTTTTTGGAGCCCACGGCATTGTCATAATAAGGTGTCAGGGGTCAAAGGGCCACAGGGAGAAGATACAGACCATGTTTCTGGAAGGTAATTGCTCTATTGGTGGGTTTGGGATTTTGGCTTTTGTTCAGTCCATATGTGCTTCTGTGGCTCAAACGCAATGCAAGTGTATGAGCAGGTAAAGACAAACACCAACGCTCACATGCAACACCTTATCAAACCCTTCCTTGACCTCAGAGAACATATCCCACCCAAGCGGCAACATTCTAATCTGAAAAATGAAGCCTACCTGGAAGTACATCGAAAATCCACTAGGGGCAGGTCCCAAAAGGGAGCAAATGTCAATAGACTTCGTGTTAAAATATCCGTTTTCACAACATAAATTCATATGTTTACATGTTGGTCCCATGGACTTTTATTGTATTTTTCGATTGGTTCCGAGTGGCTGAAAACTGCAAGGGGGGTGAATTTTTTTCTAACTCGTTAGTTTAGATAGCATTTAGATATAAAATGAATGACAAATAAGGGTGGTTAACTTTGATTAACAGCTGATCATGGGCTGCGCCGAGTGGAATTTGACGTCTGCCACAACACATCATACCACCTCTGTATCCTTTCTGAACATTTGTATTTTGTATTTTCCAAGATGACACCACCCATACCCCCCATAAACAGCCTCAAAACTGTTCTTCAGAAAGTCTATGGGTGACGTCACAGACGCTTTGCCCATATTTTTTAGTCTATATGATCCCACCTCGTCTTAAGGATCTCAGACTCTCTTCTGAAAGTTTTTCCCAAGCTGAAGCTATTTAATCTCATCGCTGTCTAAACAATTGAGAAGAGATCTCAGTTGCATGACATCATGCTCATTTAGCTGATAACATTTGTATCAGATTTAGACATCAAATCTTTTTGATTTCAGATGCACTTAAGCATATGTGTGCAGGCATTCCACTGCGATGTGGAATTCAGAGATTTGTCTGGAAGGACTGAAATGATATCCTCACAGTCCTCCACACAATTCCTTATCACACCAACGTTTACAACAGCCTATAAAACACTAAATTGATGTTTGTGTTCCACCATAGTATAGACTATACACAGTTTTACTTCTTCTGCAATAAATATAGACTGCAGTTTTTGAACCTGAATGGCATTTTTGAGATTATGGTATGTTATTATATACATCAAAGCTGTAATATGGATGAGTAATGCCTGTCAACAACACACCAGGGTCCTATTTCACCCCCAAATCAAATGAAAAAGCTATTTATAAAGACTTG